TATCTCAACTGTCTCTCAACCTACTGGGACTTTCGTTCGATTCTCGGGCAGAGGGAGACGTTCGGCCAAGTTTCCCTACACCTTTGCCAACGCTCACTTACCACGAAATCGGTATCTGGGAGTTAAGCGACTACTGTCAGTTGCATCCTGGGGAGAGTCAGTCTTCGGTTAAGGCAACCTCGATAAGTGTAAAGAGGCTTCCTGCTTCCGACAATGAGATCACCTCTCCCAAGGTCACCAACCTAAGGTCAAATCTATTTGTTTTGTTCATTTGATGCATCACGCTACTGTGATTTCTGTGTGTAACCAACCTAAGGTTTTTACAGAATAACTCTCAAATCTCCATTACTTATACTGTATACAGTTTCGATTTAAAATTTTAAATGTAAATACAGTACTGTATGATGCAAGTGTGAGATACGAGTCATTGTATTAATGTAAGAACCTTCGGAAGGCGGGGCTAGGGGCCTAGCTCGACCCTGCAAGCACATCTAGGTGAGTACAGTGCCTAACCAACTAGCAAAGTTAAAGTTTAAAATTGTGTTCTTAGCATTCAACTTGAACATGAGACTCACCAGCAGGAAGCGGTGTTGTAGTTCAGTAGTCATGCTTGAGAGGCCCTTAGATGGTGGTGGTGAGGCAGTGAGCAGCCAGAACCGTTGTGCTTCCCTGTCAGTGTGTGTGTGAAGTCCACCCTCACTCAGCTGGGACTCCCTCTCTCTCTACCGCCTCTTCAACCATTATCATATTCCCTAAATGATCTTTATACTAACAGTCGCACCACTTCCCGCAATCTTCTTATGTACGCAGATTGTCCCAAATGCACAATCTGCAGCAGCTTCCTGTTTTTTCCCACCACATGGGCTGGACGGTACAGCGACGATCTCGCTTCATGCAGGTCGGCGTTCAATCCCCAACCATTCAAGTGATGCAGACGAGGAGTCACAATAACGTAGCTGAAGTATGTTGATCAAACCACACACTAGAAAGTGAAGGGACGACGACGTTTCGGTCCGTCCTGGACCATTCTCAAGTCGATTGTGACAATCGACTTGAGAATGGTCCAGGACGGACCGAAACGTCGTCGCCCCTTCACTTTCTAGGGAGTGGTTTGGTCAACATTCAAGTGATCCCCCCCCCCCACCTCGAAGGGGCTGGGGCCCAGGTACTGCAAATGGTCAGGTATTCAGCACCATGTGGGTGTGTTGAGTGTCCTGTATGTGCGTCCTGTTTACTCACCTAATTGTCCTTGTGGGGTTGAACTTCGGCTCTTTGGTCCCGCCTCTAAACTGTTAATCAACTGGTGTACAGATTCCTAAGCCTACTGGGCTGTATCAAAGACACTGTGTATGGTGTATTCCTCCACCACATCACTTCCTAATGCATTTAATTTGTTAACTACTCTATATGACAATGTTTTAAATGATTCCTTACCCAAATTAAAAAGCCAGTTCTTATGTAAACCAGCCTTGCATATGTTACTGATAATATCCTTTTCATGTGGCCTTCATGAGAAAGGTTTAGTGTGGTTACAATGATATAGGGTGGTTGTGGAATAGTTATGATGATGTGGAGTGGTTATGATGGTGTGGGGTGGTTATGGTGTGGTTATGATGGTGTGGGGTGGTTATGGTGTGGTTATGATGGTGTGGGGTGGTTATGATGATGTGGGGTGGTTATGGTGTGGATATGATGATGTGGGGTGGTTATGGTGTGGATATGATGGTGTGGGGTGGTTGTGGTGTGGATATGATGATGTGGGGTGGTTGTGGTGTGGATATGATGATGTGGGGTTGTTGTGGTGTTACTATGATGATGTGGGGTGGTTGTGGTGTGGATATGATGTGGGGTAGTTATGGTGTTGCATGTCTTGATGGAATTTCAGTTCATGATGTTCGACATCATTCTGCTCACCATTTGAAAAATGCTTCAGTTAAATTAATGCCAAGTCTAAACCTGGACCAGGAAAGAACAGGGGAAATTATTCAAAACCCAAAAGATGGGCTACAGATGTGATTCTAAAAATGCATTAAAACTACAAGAAATCAAATAAATTTTTATACCGATTAAACATGTGGTTTACCTGTAGCATATTTCAAAATATTCTACTCCTGCAGCCTAGCCCAGCCCAGTGCCAGACTGACCTGGTGACAACTATATCAGTAAAGCTGTTGCCTATAGCAAACCATAGACTGATGAATACATTACAATGAGATATATTTTTGTATAATGCGGTCAAACCCAAATGATCAAGAACTCCCTCAAAACTTTTCTAGTCCCTTTTAAATATATAAATTTTTGTTCCGGATATATTTCACATACAATAATTACTTCCAAGTTAAATGATGGACTTTTGCTTACCTACAAGTGTCTACATGAAGCGAGATCTAGCTCTATCTCGTCGTCTAGCTATATGTACTTGGTGCATCTAAATTATTCTTGTCCTATTTCATTGTTAAATCTCATCCTGAAGCTGCAATTGTAGGCGACTTTCCCTACTACTACTTTCAATTTATCCCACTTGTTGACCCCTCTTGCTGCGTACAAATGCTTCCTCACCTCTCTTTCCCCTCTTCCATGTCTCCATATTCCACTCATATCCTCTTGTCCTATTTACCTTCAATTTATAAATGCTATCCTAGTCCACCATTTTTATCCCCAAAAATATTTTGTATATGGTGATCAAATTCCTTCTAATCCTTCTCACCTTTTGAGTTATTTGACTTAAGTTCTCTTAACCAGTCTTCACAGCTTAGACCTCTTTGTTTGGGGCTTTGTTGTGAACCTTTGGACTTTTCAAATTGGCAGCATGTGCTCCAAAAGATGTAGATTTCATGCCAGTGCTGTGCATTCTAGGACTGGTCAGATGAAGGCTTTGTACTGTAGTGAGGTTTCTGAATGCCATTCTAATATTTGTTAAATTGCCAGTTTATATATTGTATGCTGCCATTATTTGCACTTAATGAAGCAGCCAAATAAAGACTCCCACCTTCTGTCAAATCCTGCAGAACCCTCTCCTCCAAGAAGAGGAGAGAATGGGGAAGTGAAAAATCAGGAAAGCAACTAAGTGATCAACAGCGATAGCGACTAAGTGAACTCTTGGAGAACAACCAACATGAAAAGCTGGATGCATGAAGATATGCAATAAAACCAGCATCCATGATCAGCAAGATCTGTGCAAATAACCTGGGCATGGCAGCTGCTGCTGCAAATACATAAAACAAGGAAAAGGAAACGGGAAACCCATAAAAAGGAGAGACCTGGCCAAAATTACCCAGTGAATACCTCTTGCACCAACACAAGAATAAAGAACCTCCACCAGCATGTGGAAGTCATGTGGTCCACCAACCCTAGTGTCGGAGGCAATAAAGGCACCAGAATGTAGTCACCAAGCAAGGTCAAAAAAGGCCACTGTTGCAGTCATGAAGAACGGACTCTCAAGACTTGAAAAAAAAACCCACAGCAGCCAGTCAAATGGAGGCTCATGGTAATAGTGGTGCTATCTTAAATTGGATAAGGGCATGGTTATATCAAAGGAAATGAAGAGTTAGTATACAATACATGGAATTTAGTCAGAATGGAAAACCATTAAAGCGGAATGCCCCAAGGCTCTATCCTGGGGCATTTGTTGTTTACTATATAGAGGAACCTCGGTACTCGAACAACTCACAAACTCAAACTTTTCAGCACTCGGACGCTGTGTTCGGTATCCGTTTGCTCGGCACTGACGTAAACACACATCCCTGATGCGTCAGTTTCGTCATAGCTGTCATTCAGTGCACAACACCACTAGACTTCTCTAAACTTTCTTGGATATTTTTTATATTCTTAGTGTAAATATGGTAAGTAACCATGGCACCTAAGAAAGTTAGTGATAAGAGCTAAACAAAATGAAAATTAGTTAGAACCATGACGGAGATGAAAAAAGAACTCATAGCAAAACATGAAAGTGGAGCCCGCATGTCTGCTCTTGCTACCGAGTTTGATGTGCCTAAATCTAGTTCTCTAATAAAAGAAATGTGTGCAAAATGAGAGAAAAGTGCAAAGTTTTCTTGAAAAATATCACCCCTGACAAAGCTGTGATAAAGGTAAGGGACTCCCACACCAAAGAATAACATCTCTCATTCTCTGCCTCACCACCTTCCACATATGCCATCAACTCTCCTAAGTGCAGGTAGTGTGTACTGTGTTAGTATTAATTTCATTTATTTATTGCATTAATATATTTATTTTTGTGGTCTAGAATGGATTAATCAAAGTTACATTATTCCTTATGGGAACTTTTTTTTTTTCATTACTCTAACATTTCCGCATTTCAGTTCATTACTCAAACATTTCTCCTTTTGTCCTCCATGAGAAAATATTGTGTTTTAGTTCACCATAGACCATCTTCTTGGGCAGTCATTCATCGGGCATGGACACAATATGGCCAGCCCTTCTAAGCTAAGCCTTGTAAAGCATAGTGTGGATGCTTGTTGTGCCAGCCTGTACAAGAATGTCTGTATCTGGCACTTTGTCCTGCCTTATAATCCTCAGCTCCTGCAGATAGCTCAGATGAAATTGGTTTAGCTTTTTGGCATGGCGACTATTGACAGTGCAGGTCTCCCAAGCATAGAGGAGGGTGAGCAGGACGATCGCCAAGTAGACTTTTAATTTTTACTGGCAACATAAGACATGGGATTACCTGATTGTTTCAATCATAGGTTACACACACATGAAAGTGTTTGGGTGGATATAAATAGGAGCTGCCGCATATGGGCCAAATAGGCCATATGCAGTTTTCTTAATTCTTATGTTGTTGAGTGATGATCTGTTTTTTGCCATGCATTAGTGGTGAAGACTGGTGGTGGAGACAGATGTAGGAGTATGGTAGTGGGTGCAGATGAAGATGCAGCAAGGAAAATGATCATGTGGGAAATAAAATAGAGGGAAGGAGGTGGTTCGAGCAAATGCTGGAGGCAATTAATGTAGTGAGGTGAGATATAAAGTGGTGTACTGACCCGGCGCCATGAGCGAGACGGTCTGGTGGAGCTCTGCTGCAGCGCTGGCAGGGACAAGGTCACATAGTCCCTCTTCTCCTCGATCACTCCACCGGGCAGCATCCTCTCTCTCTCTCCCTCTCTCCTCTACAACATATCTGACACTCGGGGCTACCACACGGACGGCCGTGACGGACCAGGGTCACTGGGGCACCTGCCAGGGGTAGGGACTGGCAGCGGACGACAACACTATAGACGCAACACAATGTTGTTTACAAAAATGTGGGAGGAGCGGCGGACACATGAGCATCGCCAAGCCGCAAACCCCACTACCACTCACACTACCTCGACCCTCACACTTCTCATACTACCTCGTCCCTCACCACCTCTCAAACTACCTCGCCCCTTACCATCTCTCAAACTACCTCGCCCCTCTCCACCTCTCATACTACCTCGCCCCCCCCCACCTCTCAAACTACCTAGCCCCCCCCCCCCCACCACCTCTCAAACTACTTCATCCCTCACCGGAATTCTTCTGCATGGGGGGGGGGGTTGTACCAGATCTTTGCACCATGGGAACGAAGGGGGTACATCTGATCAGGTACCCCCTCCATGCACCATGAGGGGGCTGTATATTATACTATTATTAAATTATTATTATTATTATTTTTAATGAATCCCATTTAATTAATGCTGCTGGTCTTCACAAGATTTGTTTACCTGAGAGCCACTAACACTAGTAGCCTCGACGAAGACAGGAAGCCGTCAGCTTGTCGAAGGTTCCCCCACTTGCCTTGATCATCTTTTTCAGCCGTCCCTTATCTGAACTAAATCTTGTGAAATTCTTATTATGACATATAACATATCCTGGCATAATTATTATACAGTGTGAATAGATTCTCCAGGCTGGAGGCAGATTTGTACTGTGTTGACTTCAGTATGTAGACCAAGGTTTGACTCTTTCCAAGACGCATCAGAAGCAGCAGTGCTACTAATAACGAGAATTGACAGATTTTTGTTGGTATTACAGTAGTTCCCGATTATCCAAGTGGTTTGGCACTTTTTCTTTCCTCCATCCTATTCCAGGTGTTTGTCTTCATATCCTAAGTGTTATAAAGTACAGTCATATGGCTTAGCACTTCATATTACCATGCCTAGTAATCACACGTGTTTGTAGTATTTAGTAGTAATCATCAAAAGGATGCTCCATGCCTGGAAGACCATCTGTGGCACAGAACAAAACCATATTTCTAGATAATATTCAGAATGCCAATACGAGAGCAGAAAGACCTAAGATGAGTGATGTTAAAGGTACTGGATTCACCAAAGATTTTATTCAGGAACAAGCAACTATGTTGTTTGTACAGTACCTGAATTATGCTTTAAGTACAAGCAATTAATTAAAAAAATGTCCTAGACCAATTACTGTAGTTGGACTGTCACCTGTAAAATAAAAGACTGACCTACTGATACTTTTTATTATTTCTTAGGTAAGTGGAGAGAGTTAATACATTCATCTTCCAATAAAGTGAGGGTTTTCAAAAATAAATCTCTTTACCACTATAATGAATGCCTTTTCCTCTTGTATATAGATTATATATTGAAAGGTTGTGTAAACTGGTATATGCTTTGTTCCAATTTTGTTTTACAAAAAGTTGCATACACATTAACCAACAATTAACCAATTCAAGAGCTAAACTACATACATTAAATGCTAGTACGTACTGAACAGACAACAGTTTAACAGCTCATCCTCACCATCCATTATCAAATGTACCTACAATTGTATGGTCAAATGTATGATCAACTGGAAGCAAGCATTCTAATTTTATGCTATGTACTGGAAATAAAAGTACTGTATAAGAAATTAATAGGCGTAATATGTTAAGTAGGTTCATACATTTATTTATGGCAATCACCAAAAATAGTGGACATTTCTAATATATTGAGAACAGGCCGACTTTTAACATTTTAATAACTACGTTAGAAAAAAAATGGTCTGAAAACTTGAAAAATATGGTGGATGGACATTAAACAAATATTATTCAATGAATCTACTATTGCAGTTTTCTCTATTGACATTCTTTTCTAGTACAATACATGTTAGAAGGTGGCAACACCGTGAGAACGACAGTTCAAACACAATAGATCATGAAATTTATATCCAACTGATGAAATAACTAAATTTGTAATGCAACCTGGCTCTTTTAATGCAATTATTTTTCCTGTTATTCTCCTAAAAATGTTTTTCCAACCTGTGCCTCCCGAGGACATTTTTTACATGGGTGACCCCTAATCAACTCTTTAATAATGTTCTCCTACCTGGTGCACCAGAATGAAGGATGGGAAAAAAGAGAACAATGTGTGAGAGGCATGGATGATTGAACAGGTAGCTTAAGAGGGGTATAGATGTTAGGTGATGTGCATCCAGATTGGTGAAGGTAAGTATTGTATGGAGGCAGCCCTTGATGTGTACGGTGGTTATGTTCGTGTGAAACCTGTGTGAAGCAACAACCATGTAAATAACACAAAACTTGAGGAAAATTAAGGTTGTGCTTTAAAGATGTCTAAAAGTTACCGTTTCTCCACTACGCTAATAAATATACATTTTAACATTAAATATTAAGGCTCAATTCACTTTCTAGTAATACAAATCAATTAATTTCATTGTTTGGTGTCTGAATACAAAAATATAAACAAAGAGCTTTGCAAAACACAAGAATTGGGGCATGTGGGATTCTGACACACCACCAACGAGATGCAGGAGACCTATAGATCATCAAAAATCCACAAAAAAATCTTAACTGATAAATTCAATGGTGAACTTTGAAACGTCAAAAAAAAAAAAAAAAAAAAAAAAAAAAAAAAAAAAAAAAAAGTGCTTACGCCACCTAATCCTCACTCGCCTATCCCATTAAAAGTAAGCTGCCTGTGTAGTCCCAAGACAATATATTTGTAAGTACTGCTTATTATTTGACCAGTATTTGCAATACATACTAAAATGAAGATCTTTCACTTAATACTGTGTATGTTTTGGAAAGATTATTCAAGGATGTCTGTTCTTAATTCAGTGTGGTCATAGGAAATCAATAACAATATTAGTACTGTACCTTTTAAAATAAATTTTGTTGGAGTTCCTTTAGTTGGTAAAAGGTTGCTGGATAAGAAGATAGGGAGAAATATGGTTAGAGGATTGCACAAATGAGATATATAAACTCATCTGTGCGAGTTATTTGTCTTTTTACGTCAAACTCAAAAGAGTTACGCTACTTCTGGAAACTTTCCTTATTAGGACTGCTCAATAGTTCGGTCGATAGAGCCTTGACCTCACACGTGTGGGGTCCACTGTTCGAGTCTCCTAGAGCCCTGGTGAATGGAATGAGTTATGCAGAGACTGGTGTAGCACAAGTATGAAAGCTCTAAAGTAATACAAATGAGCAAACTATGATGTTTGTTGCATTAAAGTAAGAAACAAAAATTATAGAGAAATATTTTCAAGTCAGTAAATAGTAAGTTACTCTACTTTAGTAGCCCAAGGCATCTGAATACCTCAAAACACCAATGTGTCATGCATGACAAAATCTAAAATTACTGCATCAGTGTTTACATAATAAAAATTTAATGTAAAATATCAGAAGATAGTGGAATATCAATATAGCCATGTTAAATTATATAAATTATTATACAGTGATTTTTTGTAATTCATGGCAAGGGTTTGCAAATACTACAAGGTACTAACATAGGGATTAGGGGAGTATACAAAGATAGGTTGGCTATGTTGACTGAAAGGTCAACTTCACCATTTGACAAATCAAATGGTGAAGTATGCAAGTGACTTTTGAAGATGAATACCAAAATAGGCAGACATGCTAAGTGGGATGAGAATTAATCCTTGATACAGTACTTTAATCAACTTTGTACTTGTAAAATCTGAGGAGGCTACTCATAAGGCAGAATTTATTAGATTATTGTAAAATATTTACCATATCTATTGTACTGTATTTAAATTTGAAAAACATACACATGGTTTCATATATTTTGCAAGTCATTAGCATGGCCTGTAGCACAGTGGTAAGTGCAATCGGCTTTCAACCGATTATATTCGAGTTTGATATCCAGGCAGGGCGTGACATCCTTGGCAAGTTTTTTTACACCTGATGCTAATGTTTCCCTAGCAGTAAATACAGTACTGTATGTATCCAAGAGTTACGTAACTTGTCAATTGCATCCTGGAGAAGTAATTATCAAAAGAAGGCACCAAGCTAGGCAGACTATGTAGCACCATCAGTTTCAATGCATATTCAAAAAAGTGCTATGTATCACTTAGGATGCCAATATGAGAACAACAGCACATAAGGCGAGAGATATCAAAGGCATCAGTTACCAAGGACTCTATTGATGGTCAATTGATGCATCCTGAAGAAGGCATCACTGACCTAAGGAAACTTCAGTCTGACAGGTTTCTGATCTTAAGACACTGGGAAACCATTTCAGTCATACAGGGCATTGTCTGCTCCTGGATAGATGCAAATCAATGGATAAAAGTATTTTATTCAATTTATTTCCAGGTATAGTTTGCCAGATATCTAGTCATTCCATTGCTTGCAATTTGGGTATCATTATTCAATCATCTGTATATGTCAGCTTTTTATTGGAGATATTGGTATCTCTTAATTGCTTCTTGTGCCTGTGTCTGCCGCTTCATTTCCAGGTATTGTACCTGCAAAAGCTCGGTAATGTGAACCTAAATCTTCAGTTAACCAAAATGAATTCAGGTTTGAGTTCTTGATTATTAAACCTGAATAGGATTTTTGGTTAAAATGTTATATGCATTGTTGCCAAGTAAATGGCAAGAGTTAACTCTATAATTATAGGGAGTAACTGGGTAAATGGTGGGAGTTTTCATATGGAAAGGTAAATTGCAGATATGTTCATGTTTGGATATTCTTAATAGGAAATTTATTTAATTTGGAATATGATTCAGATTACTGAGCACAGACAGTAGTATATCTATGTGACTAGGTACATGGGAAAGCACGGATTGAGCTAGCAGAGTGGCACAGACCAAGGCTCGGAAGAAGCAGCTTTTTACATAACTAACGAAGAGCTTTTAGTCAGTTTGTATGAAGTGATGGAGTGCTGCTGTTAGAGGGGGTTTGCTAGATTTTGAAGCTAGTTTTCTGTGTTGTATTGAAAACATTTAAATGAATGGGAACCATTTTTAAACATATTAACCAACAATGTTTTCCAATATGGTACCAACTTTCTATCTTCTCTGGGCAAATACTGTACTCCACTTCATGAAATCATGAAACTATAACAATATTAACGATACTAGCACTGCATTTATATAACTTTAGATATTTAGTAAATTCCATAACAAAAACATGAACTTAATTCTGATAGTTTCTTCAAAGCTATCAAAACTTTTAATCTTGTTGTATATATTTTGTACATATGAAAACAAATGAGTAAATATTATAAAAAAAGAAGTGGATTCTGAAATTTAATTTTTACAGAAACTCGATATAAAATATTTAGTGGAATGGTCTATTTGTACAATTAATAAATTACTCTATAAAATACATTAGTTCCCACATATTGAGTGGACAGAAAAAAAATTCTTAACCCCTAAAGACTTATCGTCACACATTAAGGAGAACTGGTCAACATCATATTGCATTTAAACAAAACACAGTGCCTATACCCTGGAAACACAAACCGAAACCGTCTCTATTTTCCGCTTGTTACAACTTGTAATAAAGTTGTTACATCTTGGCTTAATGTATTTATGACGTATTAGAACGTTGTTACAACTTCCTATATTGGTTGTTATAACTGGTTAGGTGTTAAAACTTGTTCGAATGTTGTACCAACGTCATAGTTTCGGTGTGTGTTTGGAGGGTAGGCATCTGTGACACCACCCAGTGGTCACATGAGGCTTCTTGCCGTACCATCTTACAAATCCAAATGGTAGATATACATCTATTTTTGTAATGTACCCAAATGAAAATGGACACAAAGCCCATGCAAAATAAGGCAATTATCATTAGCAAATGATAGTTAACAGTAGTAACACCAAAAACAATTGAGGGGTAACAGTGCAGCAATAATAATTGTAGTACTGGTGGCAACAACCATGCATCAGAAGCAAGGGATAGAAGTAGAGATTATGGAAGCAATATGATGTTCACCAGTGCCCTATATGAAGTGTTGACTAATACCACACCTCATGACTAACAATGGTCAACATACAAGTTTCTCAGTATTTCCTTTACTTTTGCAAACATATCTAAAATGATTTTTTTTTTTTTTTGCCAGATGAGGGGTACTAACATGGGTACACTAACTGGGATGTTAGCAAATGTTTAAAGATCAACATATAGCCCAACAATGGACCTAAATATAAAAACTTAGTTCTGTAATACCAAATTTGCAATTAATAATAAAGGTAACTTTTACCCAAAGAAATCATATACACGTGATGCATCAATGTCAAAATCAGTAGGAGCCAGGAGGAGGATCCAAACCTATGCTCTGGGTACTAAAGCATGCGCTGGGTACTCCCAGGCACAGGTTCCAATCCTTCCCATGGCTCCTACCGATTTTCTCAAAAATAACTTTAGTGTGTTTCATTACGGTATAAGAATATATACTGTATTTTTTGGGGGGAGGGGGGCGCCAAAAGATACAGTAAAAATACTGGTATAGCTATTGAACATAAAAGAAACTACAGCACTGTGTAATTACTAATCAACAGCCTTGTTCAATTTCTAAATACATATACAGTAATGCAAAAACTAATAAAAAATCAATACATACTGTATTTGGAAGTTTACAATTTTTACTAATACAGTATTAATACAGCCAACCCACACATCTGAAAAGACAGGAAGGTGTCTGTGAGGTGAAAGAAGAGAAGATAAAACAAACTAAAATGTCATCTGTCATCACTTCCTTTCTTTTCAGATATGTGGGTTGGGTATCTAATTTTAAACTAAGTATGTTAGACTTACTTTTAATAACATTAATTCATTTAAAATATAAGTAAACTAAAATTAGAGATCCATAAAGTGACCAAGAATAAATAGTAAATCCAATTATTTTAAACACCTGCTGAAAAGAAAATATATACTTATGTTGCTCAAATTTATCAACAATACGATATTAATTTGCTTTTACCTTAATATATATTGTAGCAACTACTGTATGTAGTTATTTTTCGATCTCGTCTGATGGGTGGCGCACATGTGATGAATTGCTTTCTTTTGAATTTATATCAGTCGGTTTCTTCACAGCAGCAGCGGGCGTATAAATTTTTGTATCAATATGTGCATGCTTATACTCCAGAAGCATGTGGTTGGTGGGTGCTAACCCAATGCAGGCACGCAATATATTTTCAATACAGCTCCTTTGACGAAATAAAGAATTTATTACAGGGGTATTATGCGGAACCAATGGTGCTTTACACAAGTAGCTTAGAACTGACAAAACTGAATTAAAATTATCAAAATTGGATTCAAGTTCAGTCTTAAACTGAATTCGCTCAAAAAGTTCTGCAAGAATGACAAGATCAATGATCAAGGGACTGGCCAACAGGGAGTCTTCACAGGTGTTGTGAATGACAATTGTGTTTGTTCCACCCATCATTATTTCAGATGTGTACTCATCCATAGCACGTTTGCTGTCACCTACATGAGGTACATATTTGATGACTACACAGTGGTCAGGACCCATTCCGTCGGGAAACAGGATGTTGTTGGATTCCACCATATCATCCACAACACTACTCTTTGAGATCTGGAACAAAAGTAATAATATAGTATATAATATGCATAAAATTATATATATATATATATATATATATATATATATATATATATATATATATATATATATATATAAAATTAATACTGTATAACATCTAACTTACATGAGGCAGATTTCAGGCAAGACTAAAGCTGCTGCTGCTGCTAATAACATTATTTTTATTAAGTCATAAAAAATGGAGAGAAGCATGTAATAAAGTGTCATGAAAAAGGAGGGCAGCTCGGGGGAGAGGCAGATCAGATAGGTTAGAAAGAGCAGCACGGAGGGTGAATAGATTCCAGTCCACCTTTTATCAATTAAAAGTAAGTATCAAAAGAAGGCACCAAGCTTGGGGAGACTATATACCACTTATCAATTATAAAAAAACAAAATAAAAAATCTTGAGAATAAAACCAAAATACAAACCTCCTTTGATCTGAAAGTCTGAGGAGCACTAAGATTCTTCCCATCATTATTGCCAAGGTGATTATAACTGACAATTGATCTTGGTTTAATTCCAGCACTCACTAAGAAGTCCACTAAAACAGACTTCATTTTTGTTTGACCTGACTTGAAGTCATCTCCTGCAATGAATACCTTTTTCTTCTCAGCCAGCTCAATGCAACCAGGTACAAATGTGTTTTGCGGTGATCCATTAATATACGTCACCTGAAGGAATTTACAAATGTACATTAATAAAAGACATTATCATATCTACATAAAAACTAAATTGTGTTCATAAAAAATATTTAATTTCAGTCTATAAAGTTGAAACAAGTTTGAGAGCAAACACCATTCAAGATGTTTCCTTCAAGATGTTTCCTTTCTTATGACTACTTCAGATCTTAATACACAGCTGATTCAACTGGAGCATCTCTACATCACTGTACTCCACTTCTCCAAGTTACTTAACGTGACAGTTCAAATATAACCAACATGCAGCAGGTCATTAACACACAACAATGGATGCTCATTAATCAAGAATATCTGTGGATGAACCAGTTTGAAGCTGCATATGGATTTGGGTTATTTGAGGTGTTGCACCACTCACTCCTTGGCAACCAAAATATTTTCTTTTATTGTAAACATTACAACTCATTTCTGCACATGTTAATACGAAAATAACATGGTAAAGTAATTTAGGCAGCATATTTGGGCGTTTCTGCCAGAAATGCTATGCGTGTTAGTGGTTTTGCAAGAATGTAAAAATTACCAATCTTATGTAATCTCACAAATTCATTGTACCTTCTTGTAAATAAAATTATTATTAATGATAGGGAAAGAGAACTTTGTGGCCCAGATTTAGCTTTTATCAAGATGAATAACCAAATATTTTGGATGCTCTTTGATAAAAGGTCTTGTCAAGCTCAAAATAAAAAAAAACCTAATTTGCTCTCTCAGGACACCAACTCGTTTTTTGAAGATTGCATCCATTTTGGAAAGGCATTAGTAAAAATTCATTCCAAGCAACATTAAAGGAGATACTGTACAAATCATTATTTGTTAGCAATATACGAATAAGTAAATTAAAACAAATTTTTGAATGTAACCTTCACCCTTTCTCAAGGTGCTGTACACAATATACAGTGAGAACATTATACACAGCACCTTGAGAAAGAATGTAGGTTGCGTCCAAAAATTAGTTTTTTAATACACTTATACAGTATATTAGGTCTTTCCTTCACCTTCATTCAAGCACTACGTCATTGTGGCGAGTGATGACCAAACACCACACCAGAAGATGAGGAGTCGACGACGTTTCAGTTCGACCTGGACCATTATCAAGTCAATTGTAGTACGTTTCTTCATACAAATCGCTCTTATTCCCATACTTCATGGGAAAATTAATCTGAGAGCAATCTTAATTACCACTTGTCATATGACACATCAACCATAAGAAATTAGAGCTGCAGTGAAAAGTGAAGTAAATTTATACTTTACCATCACGATTTCTCAAAGATTGATTGAAAATCTAGATATAAATTTTTTATGGGTGACCTGATAAGAGAAAATCAGTAATTTACTGTACATGGATCCAATAAATAAAGGTCCAGATTTTGGAGGCTATCCAGTAGGCTTACTGATCATTAGGTTACACTGAGACACATTTAGGTAATATAATTACATTGTTGGTCATCAACAAACTATATTGACACGTTCATCAGGCTGCCTTTTCTGGTGAAATGTCATTCAAGTGGCCTGAAGAAATAGTTAAATAAGTTTAAGTGTTCAAATTATATATTCTGAATGCAGGAAAAAGCATCAACTTTCTTACCCCTTCAAGAATACTGGCCACTGCAAACAAAGTTGATGGTGAAATCTCACTTTCATTGTTTTTAATACTATCCAGTAAATTTTCTGCAGTACCATTGATGTCAGGTATGATGTCACTGTATCTTTCTGTATTTGCTGTCCACAGTATTATGACTTTATCGACTCCACTTGTTTCCTTGAAATCCCTAATGTCATTCCTGATCTTATTTAAAAGTTCTTGCTTCGTGCCCGTTAAGACATTATCTGCCCGATCTGCTTGGTTGGCTGCGATGAATTCTGGAAAGTATGCTGAAGGACGAGGTTTTATTGTTTTCATGTACGGCTTTAACTGGACCTGCAAGTTGTAGTCAAGCACTCTAGCTCGCTCCATGGCATCAGCAAGGTTGAGTGATGAGATGTCCCAACCTGACAAAATCAAAGAATAATTAAGTGCTAATTACTCTTACTCTAATATTTGTTAACCTCTTAACTAAATTATTCATATATATATTTCTCCTTTGATGAGGTACAATGATTACAGAAACTCAGTACAACATTACCATAGCCAAACAGTATTTAATACTGAACAGTCCTGTCCCTAATTCTCCCACTCCTAGACATCTTGTTGACTAAAATTTAATTTAGTTTATATTATATTAGCCAAGAATTTTTTTTTTAGCAAACAATACCCTTTTAATACAGTGCAACCTTGTCTTTTCATATTCTAGGACAAACACATAGAAAGTTTATTGGGTCAGAACAGGGTCAACTGCTAAGATCTACACAGCGATTCTGATTTTGTTCAAATCAAGTGATTTGATTTTGCCTTAACTCAATCATGATTCTAGCAGTTACCCAGAGTTGAGAGTTACAGAAGCCTGAAATAGTGAGGGTTAGCATACTCATAAATGCTGATCACACAAAGCGATAGCCATTCCGTTAACAGCATGTACAAAAACAAATTTAACATACCATCAATAACAATGTCAGTTGGATCAACCATGGGTAGCAAGTCCTTCAAAGGTACATAAACTTCTCCTTGGGGTCCATTTCCTAAACACACTGTACTTGCTTGAGTTATAGAGCCTGTTGAAAAACAGTAACACTTCCTTAAAAACATAATACTTAAGGAGATACTAAATTACATTAAAAAAAAGTTTATCACCATTCACATTGAATTAAATATTTGTCAAGTTAGAGCAAAAATTACTTGAGCAGATTTGTCAAACATCACTACTCTATTTACTGACTTCTTGCATCACACTAAAAAGGAATACCTGCACTTGGATTAAATGCTGATACAATTCTACTTTCAATTAAAGCACAGATAAACAACACCGCCAATCAAATAGAAGTCCATTACAATATACAGATTTAAATATAATTACCTAAGTAGTTAGCCTTCTTCACTCCATCTTTTGTATTCCACGTCATGTTGTATTTGTTGGCAAGGATGGCCGCTACAACTGTGGTACCATTGTTACCACCAACACCCACCAGCATCAGTCCAAGCTTTGGCACCTGGTCCATACATAGCACATTAGCAATGTACCATACCGTACTGTATTATAAAACAATATACAGTATATTTTTGGGGGACAGCAATGGATCAAGAAATTTATTCCCAGTGATTTCTGCCAGGCACATCTCAATGCAAACAATACTGCTACTGTATTCTTAAAATACATATTTTTATCACTGCATGAAATACAATTTATGAATCATTTTTCCAGACTTTCCTTGACAAAATACTACATAATCAGATTTGACACTGGATGTCAAAGAACATATATCCATGCAAATTCTAATGTACTAGTACTGCAGAATACAGTACTTGAGTAATCAATGAAAAGCATTTTAAAGGACTGTACTGCTTTTGATATAAATCATTTAGAATACTGTAATTTGAAAATTAGCACAATCTGTAAGGCTCATAACAAATAACAGAATATCTAAACCATTAACATGTGCAAGCACACATTCTAAAGGGATCCGATGCCTGACCCTACAAGCACATCATAAGCACACACACTTAATTTTTAAGGTTACACACACCTTTCTTTGCGTTTTAAAGGTATACTTTGTAACAGTTGGTGTTGCAATCAACGTCCCTTTACTGTCTGTCCATACATTAGTATTTGTGTAGTTGTAATCTGCTTCAATATAATCAGCTGTGTATCTCACAGCTGGACTTTCTATCTTGATATGGGCCATTTTCACTGAAAATATAACAAATGTTACTACCAAGTTAAAACTGACACTAAGAACATTGAAACCTTTTGAAAATATACATACTGCACTGTACATATGTAACTGTGTGCTCACATAAGATATTTTAATAGTGCTGAACAGTATCAAATCTCTAGGAAACCTACCAGCAGTAGCCATCAAGGTGAATTTGTAGTTCAACATCTCTTAAGAGTCAGGATACACATGATTATATTTTTAGTGTAAGATAATATCAGCAGTACAAATTGCCATATCTCTACTTGCCAAAGAACCTAATTGAGTAACATATATATATACAAGAGTAGGTAGGGAAGGTTATATATATTCGATCTACAGTAGACCAAGAGCCAAGTTAACTAGTCTTGATACACACACAGTACAGTATAGGTAAATGACAATGTATAAAATGTAGGACTAAAATGTTCATACCTGTATAAACTGAATCATAAATACCACCAATACACAAGAGTTAAACCTTAACCTCTGCCTCACAATCCCTGAACTGTAGTCGTTAAGATGTTTATCCACATCACAACACAACAGATCAACAGCTGCCCAACTTACCTCATACAGCAGCATGGGCTTGGCTCTGTTATGTCTTAGGAGCGCCATTTAACATGTCTCCTGCATTATGTTATCCATACTCACACACGTCAACTACTTTGCACAACAGATGGTTTGTACATCTATCTTTAAACTTCAAGTAACCTGTCCCTAGCCTGCGATACTGTACTGATTAAGATTGTGTGATGTATAGTGCATCAATAGCAAGATTAAACTACTGTATAAACAATATTAAATATTTCATAGACAATTTGCACAAATGTTAAAACCTAACCAAGCCAGCGGTATTGTGCAACGTGCTGTGTAGCCTGCGTGCGTGCGACTGTGAGCAGCACTTGGTCCAGTTTAGCTCCCTCGGTTCTAATTAACTGCATGGGTCACCATGTTCGGTTAGATTTGTATTGTTACGGCCAACAACAATTTGCATATTGTACACTCCATACTTATCATGCGAGCACAAACTGTCCTAAATCACACCTCACTGGATATGTGACATCAGGTTATTATAATATTCCTATGGCCCCTTATACTGCCTTAAATATAAGTAATTATTTTGGCCTTAATTATAATGCTTGCTGCGTGTGGTGAGTCGCACTACACCCGAGGGCCCTGAACTACACACCTGGAGGCCCTGAACCACACACCCGAGGGCCCCTGAACCACACACCCGAGGGCCCCTGAACTACACACCCAAGGGCCCTGAACCACACACCCGAGGGCCCTGAATCACACACCCGGGGCCCTGAACCACACACACCCGGCCCCTCCCCCCTAGAATACCACTAACGTCAGGACGCCCATTAGTGACACACAGTCACCAGCTGAGGCCTCTTCCCCTACCACACCACATGAGATGAAGGTGCGGAGGCTGAGCACCTGCACACCACCACTCAAGACGCTGAATGAGGTGTAAAGTAACGGGTGAGTGAGGAAGGCTGGGAGCTCACCGGTGTGTGGTGTTGACTGATGGCGGCGACGCTGCAGACGACGCCCCGCACCCAGCCCTCAGCTGGAACATTATCCCCTCTATATCACCTCATTATACTCCACAAATATAACTTCCTCTTATAATAAATATTTAAAAGCAAATATTAAGTTCGATTAATTTTATATTAATTAATTTTTTTTTCTCGCCGCTGCCTTTTATATATGAGATCGTTGTCACTGTGATAAAGATGCAGCATCAGCAATACTATTTAACAGACAAGCTGCTGTACTACGGGCTACTCATGTCCTGTGTCACCTCTGGGGTGGCTTAATCTTCATAAGTCAATCTAAGACGGCTTAATCTTTATCATCGTACCGCTGTTTGCAGGCGCTAACCCGTTACCTGCGCACCAGCGGGCAACCTGTATGCAAACTGCTGCCAACCTCATTCAACAGTTTCAATTTAATATTCCTATTCTTTACACAAATTTGCCCGAAGATCACTATATCTATAATTATATAATTCATTAACAACCCGTCCTCGACTCGGTCCATTACATCCAGTAGTTGACCCCACAGGTTGGAAGGAATGTTAACTTGTATTTGTATTTGTATAACTAGGGACAAGATTTGAGTTAGTGCTAATGAGTTTGGAGCGAGTATATTACTGGCATAATCTAGTCGCTACAAATATATACTCAAGAATAGAAAAGGAAGGGACAATTATAGGAACAGGGGTTACACATACAAATGAAACCAATAATAGGCAAAAGCATTTCCGACAAAACTTTAAATAATTTAGATAGAAAAATATATTTAAAGAGGAACAGGGGTAAACACTTAATACTAAATGAGAAATATCTGACATAAGTGAGAATGTTAAAAAATATAACAACTGATATACAATATAGGTGATAATGATGAGAGGCACAGATTTTTACATTATGGAACCTGTAGTTCTAGCAACAGTACAGTAGTTTTTAACATTAATAACAGAAAAACAATACTAGGATGTAATTTAGTAAAGGTACTACAACAAAACATTAAGTAAAAGTAGTAAAATTTAATGTTTAATGGGATTTGGATTAGTTCTACATGTACAGAGGTAGCTGTAATACAAACTAGCCACCAATACAGTAAACAATACAGCAGCAATGCCTCAAAGTGAGCTCGAGAAACACCTATAAACCCAACACATGAAACAGGTACAGTACTAAGGGCAGGGTTCATCAACCACTTACGAAACCAGTACACTTTTCCTCTTCATGACGGCTTTGTTTATATCTATTGAACATGAGCTCCGAAACCATACGAGGTTATTTATAACAATAATAATCTTAAGTTGTGAAATTACAAGCTAGTACACTGTATAATGAATGCTAACCAGAGAGAATGGGCAGTTGTCTTAGCTCCATAAGCGAGGGTCCGACGCCGTCACAATAACATCATCTTCTTGATTACGGATTAGATTAGATAACATGCAAACTGCACCTACTATCAAGACGAAGAAGAAGAATAGATAAGCAGTCATCTGGAGGATAAACTTTTCATGCAAACTGCACCTACCATCAAGAAGAAGATTAGAGAAGTGGGGTTTATACGTAACAATTTGCACACATCGGTACAGTTGTTGCTGAACCGGTGTACAAGTGTGAGAGGTGGACACTTAACAGCAAGACTGACGTGTCTCCAAGACTCCTGGCACACCACGCAACAACTTTAGACCTGCTTGATACCTTGTTCCATCTCCCAAGATTGTCGTCGTCCCTCAACACGAACTTGTTCCAGCTGGGCGCCGGACCTTGCCACCTTCACTCGTACGCTGGGACGCGTGGTGACCATTGGTTCTCGATACTGGCATTAGACATTCCTCAACAGCCGCCTAGATTGATACGATGCATGGTTCATTTATCATTAGGGGTCACAGGAAAGTTGATATACCTCTTCTTGTTTTCTCGGGGTAGATCTTTGAGCTGGGAGATGGTGTCTGGTGACAGATTAGCAGAGGTCTTGGAGTTAATGGGTGTTATTGGGCTCCTAGGGTGCTCTTAGGGTGGGTTGCATTGCTCTGCTGCTGGAGGGCATTAGAAGACATTTCTACATTTTGCCTGACCATGCTTGAGTTTAGGGAGTTCGTCACGATTCTGCTGTTAGGCCATGACTTTGTTCAGCTATCCAGAGTTAAAATAAATGAAGAATGTTAAAATAATTTTAAATAGCATGTGTGGTTCTGGGTAAGCAAAAGAATAACTATCAACATCTAAGGTGTTAGATATTATAAAGAAAATATTAAAATTTCCAGTTTGCTTAGTATAAAAAAAAAAAAATAACACAGAATATAAAAAATACTGTTTACTATAGTTACCTTAAGACTCTGTCACAGGGGTAAAAGTCATCACTCATCAACTATTTACTTTTCATTGATAGTGAAATAAAAATACTGTACACTTAATATCTTGTAAGAAAACTTTGTTGCATGAATTGAAAGATAAGTTATCTATAAAATGACACCACAGTCATTAAAATTATATTGCATTATGTAATAATGGGGAGAACAGTAGTGTATGAACTTTATTTCAAGAGCAGAAATGGTAATTTTAATTTCCCATTTACCAGGTACAGCACTGTGTTGGGTTGCAGGTTTCGTCAGCTTGCAGCACGTCGCCTGAGCAGGGATGTTGCCTATGCCTCTTCTGTCCCTCAAGTGTGCATAGTCGGCAGTGGTCCAGCTGGCTTCTATACTGCTCAACAAATACTTAAGGTTTTCTTTAATTGTATTCTTTTTACCACAAGGTAAAGTTATTATTAGTCTGCCAGCAACAGTTTTCAGTCTCTTCTAGCAAAGGGGGACACTCTTACTTAAAGCCTGGCATAAAACTAAATTAAAAATATAAAAAATTCTTCAAATACGTTTAGTATATAGTATTAGGTTTACATGTGAAAATATTGAAAATGTCTAAAAAGGAAACAATAGGTTTATAACTTGCAGTATTTTAGGTGAGAGAAAACTTAGTTTCAGATGTTTCTAAAGTTGATAACATGAAATTAAGCAAACCCTGATGTGTGCAGATTAGGTAACCTATACACAGAAAATGGACAATTCCCATTCATTTGACATATAATACTATTATTGTACTGTGTTTTTTTACTGTTTTCCTGAGCTTCAAGTTGGATAAATTAAAAGATTTTTTTTATTTATGAACTGTCATTCAGTATGAGTAGGTGACCTAAAATATGATTATAGTTTCTAGAATCTCAGAAGATGACTTAATCATTAGGTGACTTGACAATTAGTTGTAATGTAGATCAGTGTTCCCAACTTTTTGGGAAATGGGCTTATTTTCTAATATTAAAACGAACCCCTTGATGGTCACAGCCCACTGATTGGAAACACCGATTTATAATATATTTAAAGATTTTAAAGAAAAGTTTGGTTTATTATAACTAAAAAACACAAAATCTACACATTTGTACTGGTTATACCGGTGAATCTCATGTAAAAAGGACCACGTGTGCCACAGTGGTTGATCTCCTTAATCGGGATAATTCGTGCCAGTGTTATTGAGCATACTATTTTAAAATAAACATCAAACATTACAAATAATTTTAAATTATATAATATACAGTACAATAATGTTAAAAATATAAAAAATTAATTGAGAGTAGATGAATGTTCATTCAGACATTTACTGAGAATTCTCCAGTGTGCCATATCTTCTCACAGGAGAGGGACAGATTGAGAAGACTTTCACTGCATCCAGGATGAGAAGGTTATACTTTCCCAGACTGGCGTTCATAGTGTCCCTGTGGGGAGTGGAATAGTATGTAAGGAAACAACAGAGTAATCTGTTCTACATTTAAAGCCTTATTTATTTTCAGAGTTGTGCAACAGCACAAGTAGATATGTATGAAAAACTGCCAGTTCCATTTGGTTTGGTTCGTTATGGCGTTGCACCAGATCACCCAGAAGTAAAAAACTGCATCAATACCTTTACGCAGACTGCTGCCAAGGATAGATTTTCATTTTTAGGCAATGTGAATATTGGAAGTGATGTTACCTTCAGCCAGCTGAAGAAAGCTTATCATGCAGTTGTTTTGGTAGGTGTGAAATTTTATAATTTTTATTTATTTATATGTATACAAGAGTACTTGCATTCTTGTGAAGCCACTGACACACACAGCATTTTGGGCAGGTCCTTAATCCTAATTTTCCCCTAGAATATGATCTGGCAAATTGTTTAACAACCAGGTACCCATTCACTGTTGGGTGAACAGAGGCTACAGTGAAGGATTGGTGCCCAGTCATTCCTCGCCAGCCAGGATACGAACCCAGGCCAAAGCACTCGTGAAGCGCCGGGTTAGTGCTTTACCACTGCGCCACAGAGACTGCCCTGAATCAGCTGTTGATGCTAAACATTTAGCTTCTTAATCTGTTTGTTTCACAGGAAGATTTTTTAAAAACATTTATCATGCTCTTGTGTAAAAAGACATAGATAATAGATTATGGTGTACAGTGTCAAAATTTGCTGATGATACTAAATTAGGAAACAAAGTTATTCTGTAACACCAATTAAGGAACAGAGAATACAAGCTAACTTAATCACCTTAGTAAACTGGACTTAACGAATGGGAGAGGAATTTTAATGACAAATGTGTACTACTGTATTACATATCTGAAACAATAATGAAAAGTCAAGCATCTATTTGAACAATATAAAGCTGATGAAATTAGATAAAAGACTGAGGAATGATAATGGCTAATGATTTGAAGCAAAGTAAGCAGTGCAATGATGCTGTAGAGAAAGTCAGTAGAATATTAGGTTTCATATAGTCCATCTTATACTGCATTTACAATATACGTAGTAGGTCCCCCTTCTCTACCGAGGGGTAGGGGTACCTATTAACAAAAAATTACTTTGACTTGTGTTCCTTCAGCTCCTCTTCCATTTCAAGTAGAAGTTATTATTATAAAAGTTGCATTATAAGGGTCCAGGTAGTAAAGGCGGGTTCATTCTCGACGCACAATCGAGAATTCCCAGTTCGAATCCTGGGCGGGACATAAATGGTTGGGCACATTTCCTTTCACCTAATTCTGCTGTTCACCTAGCAGTGAGTAGGTATTCAGGAGTTAGTCAGCTCTTGGGGTTGCATCCTGGGTGAGTTCAGTAATTCAGCCTGGGAAAGGGGGGGGACCGAATTTGGGAAGCCAAAACGTGTATGCATACACTCTGGCTTCCTGTCCCCAACACAATGAATTAATTAATTAATAATGTTATAATAAATCATCTAGGAGTGTTTACACTTCTTTGACACAAATGTTGTTCTATTACTGTATACATTTTAATATACTTTTCAACATTATATACAGTTTTGTCTCTAGTAGAGTCCAGTAAATTGTGATAGCATACCTTCCTTTCAGGCATATGGTGCTGCACAAGATACAGCATTAAATATTCCTGGAGAGTCTTTACACAACGTTTTATCTGCACGGGAGTTTGTTGGATGGTATAATGGTTTACCTGAAGATGCCGATTTAAAGGTTGACCTGGATGTTGAGTCAGTAGCAGTTATTGGCCAAGGAAATGTTGCTGTGGATGTTGCTAGAGTTCTACTCACACCTGTTGACATATTAAAAGTAGGTATCATTCTGGGGAAGCCCCTTGTGGCTCTCTGATGTTATTCTCACTGATAGTGTACCAACTACTACCTTACCTTGCGGTTACCTTGCCATGATTTCGGGGCTCAATGTCCCTGTGGCCTGGTCCTCGACCAGTCCTCCTGGACTAGGTTGCATCAGCTGCAGAGTTCTGAGTAAACCCAGGACATGTTTGAAAACATGTCCTGGATTGATATCCTGGCATGGGGGATTAGAGGTTAAAAAGGTTTCAGGTAGCCTGGTATCTTGTGCCTGGGCCCAAGTACTGTAATCTTGAGTGGCTTTGGGTCGTTTCGCTCGTCTGTGTGTGCCTTTGTCCTGACTCGTGCGGTGCTTCCTCCTCCCTGGTAGGTGCTCATTTGTTTTCCTTCTCCGTGGGTAGTTAGCTTCAGGGAGCCACAAGAGGCTCTTTTCCCAGAAGCCCAGTGTTGAATGTAAGGAAATCCCAATTTCTGGGTGAGCCACAGGGGCTCCCTGAAACCCTCCTTCCAGGTCATCGGGGTGTTGGTTACATATACATACAGTACTGTACCATAAAACTGAGGGTGGAGTAGCCCACTGATGTCCAGCTACCTCCTCCCCCATATGATTGATGGAGGTGGGGCAAATGAGTTTGTGTTAGTTTGGAGAGATTTTGATCATTTGTTTACACAGTTCTTTCTGTGATTTTAGAGGCTACGGTCTCTATTCAAGCCAGCAGTGGTATATTTTGTCTCGCTGACTCTCTGGATGCTTTCCCGCTGGTAGCACAAATAAATAAATGCTACCATTCCCTGCACCTTTGTGAGGAGGCCAGGTTCTGGCACTGATCCCAGGTAGGCCAATAGTATAGAATAACCTCAGTTGATGTGACCTTATTAGTTGGTACACTGTTAGTGATAGTAGCTTCAGGGAGCCACCAGGGGTCCCCAGAAACTGGCATTTCATTACATTTAATGCTCATTTCTTAATAAGAGTTATTAAAAATACTGATGCATACAGTAATTAGTGTTGGTTTTCACTTGAGAGAAAATGTGTTTCTCACATTTCTTATTTCTCATTATTATTTGTATTAAGGATAATGTTTAGCCTGTTGTAATAATAATTCAATGTCTTGAATGATATAATTTGGGTAACAAAATATTCTTTGTAATACACAGAATACAGATATTCCAGAGAATGTACTCGAGAGCTTGAGCAGTAGCCGTGTGAAACGTGTGACCCTCATTGGTCGTCGAGGCCCAGAGCACATTGCCTTGACTATCAAGGAACTGAGAGAGATGATCAACCTTCAGGGGTGTAGGCCTCTTTTCAGACAAGATGATTATCAACACTTAAGAGGCCTTATTCCAAGTTAGTCACAATGAGCACAGGTATCACTCATTGCAGTTCTTATGCAAAACTACACTGTACAGTAGAGTATTAGTTATTTAAATCCTTGGTAGCATTAGAAAGATTGATGATTGGGCTTCTCTGCCATCCCATATTCTACTGGCACTGGGTAGGGACGCATGTGTTGGGAAAGATGAAAAGGCATTAAGAAAATTTGTATTTTAAGTCATCAGAAATAGTTAAATAGAGCAATATTTGCAGTAAATGCTTTGGGACTGTACTAGCATGAGTGGGAGTTCATCTATCTTTTTTCCTTCCAGTTCAGATTTTTTCTGTACAGTATTATCAAAGTAGGAAACCTTTCGGGCCACATTCTTCCAGCTTCCATGTAAGAGAAAGCCCAGAAAATCTTCTCTCATGTTACCCTCAATCAATGGCCTATAAAGGGCAGTATTTTAGGACATGTCCTATTTCTTATATACAGTATATCAATGACTTGCCATATGTGTCTAACCTTCTTAAACTTGTACTATTTGCTGATGACATTACCTTCATCTTTTCAAACTCCAACCCACACACACACTTACTAATATTGTAAATAACAAGTTTAAAAAGTCCATTCATGGATGTCAACCAACTTGCTACACCCACACTCCACACATTCTCTTGTACTATTTACCTTTTATATATATATATATATATATATATATATATATATATATATATATATATATATATATATATATATATATATATATATATATATATATATATACATATATATACATATATATACATATATATATATATATATATACATATATATATATATATAATACATATATATACATATATATACATATATATATATATATATATATATATATATATATATATATATATATATATATATATATATATATAAATAAGATCCTAACATGATATATAACTTAAAACACATGAGCAAAGCATCACCTGAGTGAGTGCTAACATGTGCTTCTCTTGGTTTCTCAATAGTGAATGATGGTATCTTACATACAGTAACTATGAAGACTGCTTGATTCTAGCACAAGTAAATTAATATACACTAACTGCTTTGCTTATGTCATGAAGTTATCAGATATGTATCACACACATTTCAAAACATAGAGGGTAAAAACAATACAGTATTAGAAGAATGAGCGGTTATATATACAATACGTACTGTATTAAGTTGGTTTAGATCTTATTATAGAACAATAATTAAAAAAAATCCCATTAATAGATTTACCACGACCACGTAAGAGACTGCTTGAGCTTCTGGCTAAGACAGCATTAGACAAGCCTGATGCCAAGCTTGCTTCTTCGTGGGCTGCTTCAGAGAGAGACTGGAGTTTTCGCTTTCTGCTGAGCCCTCGTGAAATTCTCGCTGCACCTGGTGGTCAAGCTGTTTGTGGAATTTTGCTTGGTAAAAATAGGTATACAATACATTTCATGCACAGTAATGTATTTTAGGATTTTTTATTTTTTGTTTTAACTTAAGAATTTTCAAACTAGGGTGAAGTAGCAAATCTCAATTACAAAATAAAAATAAATTGCTTTATATGTGTAGTAGTTATGTTCCTTTTAACTTCACAAATAAACTTAGAAATATGCTTTGTACCAGACTAGATGGATGTACATATACAGTATATATCACTAGGATCCGAGAGCCATTTTGGTTCCGGAGGAAAAAGTAATCTTGCAAGGTGTCTTTCCTCTTAAAACAGGACAGCAAGCTCCTGGGAGAGAACAGTCTCATATCCCACCAAGGAAACTACCTGCTACTACACCCACATGTTCTAAAAACCACTTTTCACTCACTGCACGTGACTTTTTGCCATTTTGAACATTACTTAGTCATTCAGAACCTATGGGTTTTTAGCCAAGAAGTAGCACTCTGTGGTGCTACTGGGATGAGGCCTGGGATGATGAAAAATAAAGTCATTCAAAAGTCAGTCTCGCTATGGCAATTCAACTGAACGAACTCATTTGAGGTCACTGAGACCCCTAAGATCAGCAGCTAGTACGACAGGAAAAAGAGGGATTAAAGTTATGTACTTCTCAAGGCATGTGCATAGGGATGACAAGCTGAATAACCCAGCTGGGTGCTCCCCAGACCTTTTAGACTGTGCCTCTGACCTCTGAGCTGTGCCAAGGATCATTTGGCTTGGTGCCCTGCATCTTTCGACTCTGTGTTCTGGGACTCTGGATTGTGTTCATGTGTTGGACTCTGGTTCTGTGCTTTGGATCTCCATGTTATGTGCCTCAGGTTGAGTGTGAGGTATCTATAGTCTGGGTGTCCTGGTAGGCTTCTAAGGTCCCAGGAGTCAGATATGAAGTGGTAGCCATGCATCTCATTACACCTAATATTCTATTTTTCAAATAGCTTTTTTTGGATAGACAGCTCATGCCATACACAAAAAAGCTAATATCAGGGTGCTGTAGCTGAATCACTTCTTTCCTTCAATCTTGATTTGTCTAACTGCATTCCTGAAACTTGATGGAGCTTTCCATCATTATCTTCCTTCTTATGGTCCGGTATAGTTCTTTGTCATTAGAATAGATGGGGGGAGCCTCTTGTGGCTTCCACTGAGTATCTCACTGAGGTACTCCTACTACTGCTGCGCATTAGCTGTGAGTGGACGAGTTCGGCCTACCTGGGGTCAGAACCAGAATGTGCCCCCTTCCCCCTCACAGAGAAGTAGAGAGCAGGCGACTCTCCACCACCTCGCCATGAGTGGCATGTGGTGGCAACCATGTTTCAGGTGTTTTTGAGTGGCCTTTCATTTGTGTCGCTCAACGTCAGCTTGTATACTCCCATTCTTTCCTGAGATGTGGGCTTTGTGCCCAGATGCCTTTGTTGTTGGCATTCCTTATTTTGGAAGTCTCTTGGGCTCTCATGCACTATCTGAGCCGGCTTGGTCTTTGGACCGTGGTCTTTCGTTTCTTTCTTCTCCGTGGTGTTCAGTGTCTCCTTTGGTCTAGGATGGCTTCTTCTAGGCTTTGCTTTTGGCTTTCCTTACCTCCAGTTGTAGGGTTGGGGAGTTTCATGCTTCTCTCTGGCAGCAGGGGTTTTGTTCTTTTGGCTCTGTGGGTGGTTTGTTCATATGCAGCCAGTTCCTTTTCTGGTGAAGAACAAGTCAGTTCGCTTCCGCAGGCATCCCTTGGTGATTGATGCTTGGTTACTTCGGCCAGGGAGCCACAAAGGCTCCCCCAAGAAAACCAGTATTGAATGTAATGAAACGTCAATTTCTGGGTGAGCCTCGGTGGCTCCCTGACACCCTCCCTCCCTCCAGGTCATCAGGGTTTTTCCTCACATCTACCATAGAACTAAAGGCTGTGTCACTGGCTGACCGTGAGCTACCCCCTCCACCCAAATAGGCGTGGGAGGTGGGGCAAATGAGCTGGTGCCTGTTTTGAAACTTTTGATCATTTGTTTACATTGTTGGGGAGTTCTGGTAGTTCATGAGGTTACAGTCTCATCTTTAGCTAGTTGTGGGTTGTTTTGTCTCACTGACTTTCTGGATGCCTTTCCCAATGGTGGCGTAAATAAATTGATTAATGCAACTGCACCCTGTGCCTCTGTGAGGAGGGGGGGGGGGCAGTTTCTGGCTCTTGGTCCCTGGTAGGCCAGATAGAATTCCACAGCTGATGCGACTCAGTAGATGGTTCACTGATCTGTGATGGTAGCTTCAGGGAGCCGCCGGGGCTCACCCAGAAATTGGTGTTTCATTACATTCAACACTGGTTTTTTACCAAATGTCCTCTAATAATATCTTTATAAAACTATATTTAATTTCTGCAAAGTTAGTTTTGATGGTGAGTTTAACTTTGTTATAGATCGTTCATATTTTTATAGACTTGAGGGTGATGGCTTGAACCAGAGGGCTGTGCAGACAGATGAAACTGAAACTCTCGAGTGTGGCTTAGTCCTACGAAGCATAGGCTACAGAGGCATCAATATTGATTCCTTGCTACCCTTCAATGAACAATTGGGAACAATTTCCAATGACGGAGGAAGAGTGACTGGTCACAATGGTAATCCTTTTTATTTCCTCTATCCAATTCAGATTTGTGTGTAATATAGATATTCCACAGGGATATACAGGGGATCGAACCAAGATGCTGGTTCGATCTCTGTACAGCTCCAATGAGTTTCTCATCAAATCTCATCAAATACTGTATAATGTTACAAAGGCAAAATTAGGTACACAGTATCTGATTTTAGAGAGAGAGTATAAACTTTGTTATATTTTGTATATGGCAATGAAAATTCAGTTTGTTGTCTATGTAAACATGAAGAAATTTCACATTCCTTGCTTGTGGGGGCTGAGCTATGGCTCTTTGATCCCACCTCTCAACTGTCAGTTGACTGCTGTACAGAATCCTGAGCCTACTGGGCTCTATCATATCTACATTTGAAACTGTGTATGGTGTCAGCCTCAACCACGTCACATGTGTGTATCTGTTTATGGTTTACATGGCGTAGCTCAAGGTCATGGCATCCTCTGTCATTATTTGCCCATTTATAATATATGTAAATTAATGTTCATTTTAAATTGTTAAGTAATTTATATAGCTGTTTATTAAAAAAAACTTGTTAGGTTCTTGATGTAAGCAATTTTAATTTTCAAATGAGGTTTGCAGATTGCCAAATGTCGAAGGTTATATAATTATTTTAAATAATAATAATTTTACTATTATCCCCTTCAGGTGTATATGTTAGTGGATGGATCAGCACTGGTCCAGTTGGTGTGATATTGTCTACCATGACAAGTGGTTTTAGTACAGGCAAAGCCATTGTGGCAGACATCGAGGCAGGCCTGGTGGATGCCTCACAACCTCGAGGTGGAAATGTAGAAATTATGAATATTTTGAAAGAGAGAGGTTAGTACATTCTGTTAAAGAACCTGAAACAGTTCATTTTACAATGTAACCAAACTCGCTGATCACTGGCTCTTAGTGATGCCTCATATTTTAAGTTCTCTGCATCTTCATTTTGGGTAAATGCCAGGCCTAAGGTAAGTGGTAAATCACCTCTTGTTGGCTCCCTGATATGCAGCCACAGGAAGTGTTTGAAGTGTCCATAAATCTTGCTCTCCGTGTTTTATCTTCCCTGCGAGGCTCCTTTGACCAGTCTATTCTCCTGTGGTTAAAATCCCCAAGTATTAGGATCTTTGCTTTAACTCTCCTTGCCACTGTGGTACTCAGGAGTTGGGCAACTGTTGTGGGTTATGTCTCTGGGAAGGTCAGCAGTTGGCCAAGGGAACCTCAGTACATCTTAACAGGCTTCCTGCTTCTGACAATAGAAAACCATATTTAATTACAGTATATTGATTTTATTATCAATACTATTTGATCATTAGTTTCATAAATTCATTGGTTGTCTGTCACTTACGAAGTTGGCAGTGATATAGTTTTTCTTTGCAGTTGAGAAAGATGAACAAACTGTATCACATTCAGAATCCTTGTAAACTACCATCTGTCAGTGTGGGTGTAGCAAATACACGACATTCATATGTTATAATTTCTGGTGTTGGGGACAGGAAGCCTGTACATAAGGTTATTAGGTTTCCCCCTAGGCAAACTACTGACCTCCAGAATGCAACCCCACAACAAAGTTTAGCAGTTGCTAAACTGCTTGGTACCTATTTACTGCTAGGTGAACAGAAACATCATCTGAAAGAAAACATGTCCAATCATTTCTCCCCCCCCCCCCCCGGGATTTAACCCGAGATCCTTAATAATGAGTTGAGGACATCTTTATCTTGCGTGTATTTGGCATTCTTTTATATCATAGTGATGCAGTACCATGCATCTTCTCTGAGGGTTGTACAGTCTTGCAAAATTTTAAACATTAAATATTATTATTATTGGAGAAAAATAATGGTACTGTACTGTATTTAAGGAGATTTTCATACACTGTAGCATTAATACAGTACTGTATCTGATTTAATTGTGATTCCTTTTCCTATATTAACTGGATCTAAATAAAATACAATATCACTAGTTTTTTTTTCCAGTTTTGACCCTTGTGTGCCTTGCCGATAATACTTTATGATTTTATCCCCAGGAGTACGACCCGTATCATTTGACGAGTGGACTCGCCTGGACAAATATGAAGTAGAGGCTGGAACCAAGCTTGGCAAGCCTCGAGAGAAAGTTTGTAATATTAAGCAAATGATGAACATAATTTACCAGTGAGAGAGTATGAGGTAGAGTGTATACCTTTATTCATAGTCAAAGGAGCCAGCAGCTTTAACAAAGATCAACAAATAGCATACAAATAAAATATATAGAAATTTTATTGAATATGAAAACCTTATCCAATACTGTAACTATTTTATGTACACTTCACATAGTTCTCTTTCTTTTTCTCATGCTTTCTATTTATCCTTCCTTTTGTCTATGTTTCCATCATTATTTTTCATTTTAACCTATTCTTTTCTATTGTTGCTTTCTCTCTCTCTCTCATATTTCAAAAGTAATAATCTGTAGAAATGTGCCAAAATAATTGCATAAATTAGTGTACAGTAGTTTCTCTTGTATTTTTCCAGTAAAAGACCACACTATTTTTATGCGAGCCTAAAAGGACTTCTAATGCATCAGTAATGTTAAGAAAAATAAGATTAAATGACAAGCCTACATTTGTCAATAATGTAAAACATGGTTCTGTATAAATTTGTACTGAACAAAACATCCATAAATAAAAACTCACACCTGATTCTGTCAGGAATAATTAGTTCTTGTTCAGTCACTATTATGAGAGCTATAACGAGTCAACCCGTCCTCTCGAATAGTAATATTGTACATCGCATTTTGATGTATATAATCCCCCCAAGGTCAAAAACTGATGTATTACAGGGTTTCAGTAATGCAGTTGGGTTCGTTCTAGGTTCACAATCAGGAATTCCGGGTGCAAATTCTGGGCAAGACAGAAATAGTTGGGCACATTTCCCATCACCTAATGCTCCAGTTCACCTAGCTAGTACTAAATAAGTACCCAGGAGTTAGTCAGCTTGTTGTGGAGTTGCATCCTGGGAGGGTCAGTAGTTCACTAGAAAGCTATTTTTTACTTGTTGTTTTGACAAACTAACCTAACTTAACCTTCTTAGGCCTAATACATGATATCTGAGGCCTAATATAGTACATATGTGTGCTGTACTAGGCCTAGGAATATTTGTTTTTTTAACTTTATTTTTAAAGAATTCTTTACTAATCAGTATACTACAATCTAAAACCTAAGTACGTATGAATTCGTAACTATTGACGACCATCACAAGAGGTACAATCTAAATGGGAAGATGGGTTGCTTTCTGTGACATCGTCTCACACCAAAGGTCTCATGCTCTTTTGGCTAATTGACCTATGAACTTGCAAATTGAGGCAAACTTGAGTGATAAGTTGTAATTAAATATTGGAAACTGTGTGTGGCGTCATGGTGATATTTCTAAAAATGCATGCATTTCAGTTTTGGTATAATTTAACATGTTCCCTTTGCTTTATTAAAATTTATTAACTCGAGGTGTTTGGTATAATCCTTTTTCTACAAAATTCTTTATATACCAACTAATCGGAATCTGATATCTGACATTGAGACAGAAAAGTTAAATGAATAAATTAATTTAGCCATTAAGCAAAGTCCCGAACACACCAGAGAAGGGTACAATGTAAGGGCAGCATTAGTGGGCACCAGTGAACAAATCCGTAAGTGAATGCAACCTGAGTACAACTGAAGCGAAGCCCACACAGCCAGCCAGAAAAAAAACACATAAAGCTAACACTAAACTAATGAACACAACAACAAACAGATCAACTTTACAGGACGAAGGAAGTCCAAAGATGGCTACCATCTAGGGCAAGACAGAAGTGGTTGAGCGTGTTTCCTATCACCTAATGCCTCTGTGCACCTAGCAATAGATAACCAGGAGTTAGCCAACTTTTTATATGGTTTCATCATGGGGAGGATCAGTAATGCGACCTTGGAAAAAAAAACTCGATATTAGCCTGTAATATGCACTGTATGAATAAACTGGCTTCCTGTCCCGCGACACAATGAATTAATTATTAAACTAGGTACAAAGGAGTTTGTCGGCTTGTGGTATTGCATCCTGGGGAAACCCTGGAAACAAACCGAAACTGTCTCTATTTTCCGCTTGTTACAACTTGTAATAGAGTTGTTACATCTTGGCTTAACATGTTTATGCCGTATTAGAACGTTGTTACAACTTGTTATATTGGTTGTTATAACTGGTTAGGAAGTGTTAAAACTTGTTCGAACGTTGTACCAACGTCGTAGTTTCAGTGTGTGTGTGGTGGGCTAGGTCAGTTATTTTACCACGGGGGGCCCTCGATATAAGCCTAACACGTATATAAACACTGATTGCCTGGCACAATGAATTATTATTTGAATTAAATGGTGACTCCTTAAATATATTCAGGTGAATTTCAATGCTCATTTTGTTCTCATCATGTATATTTAGACGCTATTTTGTGCTCAAAATCACGTGAGTAGTTGTTTGCTTAGATTAGTGTCAAGGAACTCTGCACTATAGAAATCTGTGCACCAGTTGATGGACAGTTGAAAGACGGGACCAAAGGGCCAGAGCTCAACCCGCTCAAGGACAACTAGGTGAGTACAACATTGCAATTGGTGACTCCAATAGCGCACGAGTTGCAACGCAGCATATTATGGAGGACTTGCCATGTGTGTAGCGTCTAGTGCTCAGTTGTGAGGAGAGAGGCAGAGGAGGAGGAGCTGCCAGGCTCGACGCTCTTCATATTTGTGTTCTCTCACAACCCATAACAATGACACGAGGTTAGTTTACATTGTTGCCTGACTTTGAAGCTGGATCTAATACCTATATGTAGGTATTACTGTTAATATACATATTTACCTATACTTGGCCTAGAGAATGAACTTCAACACTCACATACAACACATAGCCAGAGTCGGGAAAAACGGCCGGTATGATTTCTAAAATCAGGTATTATGTTCCCCAGCGAGCAGCCGCGTCAAACAGCCTGGTTGATCAGTCCAGCAACCAGGAGGCCTGGTCGACGACCGGGCCGCGGGGACACTAAGCCCCGGAAGCACCTCAAGGTAGCCCACTCTGCTCTCATTATACTATGCGTTAATCTATCCCTATCTTACATACGGTGCCTGTACATGGGGTTCAACCACTGTAAATTACCTCAAACCCATCATCACTATGTCCACACACTTGTCCTACTGTCCTATGTCCGTCCCTTACCCCAGACCATTCACCATACAAAATTGGGAGAGGCTAACCCAATGTGTCCGGCCTAAATCAGTCGAAAGACAAATAGGCATTCTCTCTTATACAACGAAAGATTTACATGCATCAATTCATGGGATGAAACATACTACATTTTTTTGTTAACAAAATATTCTTGGAAATTTCGTTCACCTTATGACCTGGTAAATACAGTCAGTCTTTTCCTACATTGCGCACTCGGATTTTCCGGGTGCATGACTCCCTCCCACGCGCAAGGCCACTATACTCAATATATAAAGAAACATGATACTATTAGAATATATTTATTATAGCCACAATAGCCATTTTGTGGGCGGTGGTGAAGGGATTACAGAGAAATCCAAGGCTGTTATCATCTAAGGTTGTAGTCATATAGGGTTGCCGTCAGGGTTTTATCTCAGCGCTCATTATAGCTGTCCAAACTGGGCAAGTGCACCAGCAACCTTCCCGCTTCCGTCCAGGCACTTGGTGACTCTAGGGCGCCATAACTCCGATACCTCATGAATCAGAATCAGCCTAATCTCCTAGTTCGTCCTCATCAACAAAGACCAAATGCTCGCCCACCAAACTTCCTGCTCATAAATAAAAAAACGGTTTACGCACGACTCACAACCTATCTTCAGGCTAGGCTGCTTAAAACTGTCTTTGTCCCCCAAGACGCATTTATTAATTGTAACGTACTGTGTATTAATATTAGGTTTGTTCTCATATATATAAATAAAATAATATAAAATAATATTATTATGCATTTAAGTTCTGTGCATAGTTAAGCGTAGGTAGGTTAGGTGTCAAGGTACTGTTGGCGATTATTTGTATTTGAAGAACGTAGGTGAGCATTTACAGCGCTGCGATTTGAAGGGAGGTCGTCTCCGAATCATTGTTTGAGAAATTTTCAAATGTAATCAGTTGAGAGTCGTGTGTAAATCGTTTTTCATTCATAAACAGGGGGTTTAGCAGCTGGATTAATGAGCATTTGGGCTTTGTTGATGAGGACGTGCTAACTCACAACTGATTACGTTCAAACATTTGTCGAACAGTACTTTGCTGACGACCTTTGTTCAAATCGCAACGCTGTAAATGCCTCAAACTTCAAATACAAACAATTACTAACAGAACCTAAACACATAACCTATCCTAGCCTATGCCTAACTATACAAAGAACTTTAAAATATACTAATATTAATAGATAGGAATGAAGGAATTATCAGGGAAAAGCACCAAGTCATCACGACTATATAGGACTTGGAAAGGGTCAGGATAAGGATTTGCGATGGAACAGGGGGAAGGAATAATAATAAATGCGAACAATCCTATTTTAGATACACAATACGTTAAAATTGACGAATGCGTCTTAGGGGATGGCCACAGCTTTAACGAGCCTGGCCTGTAGACGGGTTGTCGTAATGACAGACAGACAACAAAGACAGACACATAGGCAACACAGGAACAAATGGACAAGTGCAGATAGAGTCAGTCTGATTAAATTTCATCAAAACGTCTCAAACTGTAGACACCTATACCATCATTTTAAACCTATCGCAGTGTGTACGTCACCCAGTATGCTGATTCTCCAACCAGTCGATTCACCCCCATCAGTGTTTGGTGGAGCAGCAATCTGTATACTGTAGGTGCTATCTTTGGTGTTGCAGGTTGGTGGTGTAGGAGCGTGGCGTGCAGCCTCGTCCTCATCTCGTACGTAGCCGCCTCGTATATATCAGGTAATGATCAAGCTTCGCAGTGGGTGTGTGTGTACTTCACTAGCAGGTATCTGTCTGCTTCACTAGCAGGTATCTGTCTGTTGTCTCTATATCTCTCTCTGTCGTTCTGTCTCTCTCATTAGGAATATCATTGTTGTTCCCAGTGAAGCTGCAAGCTAATAGATGCAGATGTTATCCAACATCAGCTCATCTGAAGCCTGGCCCTACGAACTTATTTGATGAACTTATTATTTGTATCCATTGCGAAACAACTAAATTTAATGCTAAGCAACTTATCATGTAAGGAACAAGATAAACCAAGAGCCAACTGTGTGCCAGAGCCTTCGTATATATATTTGTTGACATTTGTTTTAAGCACGTACTGTATATATTTTGTTTACTCAGAGTTACACAGTGATGTATGGTGTGGGAATAGTCTTGTTGTGTGTGTGTGTTTGAGATGAACCTCGTATTAAAAAAATGGTTATATTATCTGGTCTCCCCCACCAAAGACGGCATCTCTCCCACCAACCTCCCTCACCATGTACCTCCCCGACCAAATGGGGGTGATGATGTGAAGTCACTTCACCTGGGATTGAAGTGGCACAGGTTGTGACTGAATGTTATTTTGACCAGAGGAGTGCATTGTGAAGGGCTTGAACGTGACGGTGGACGAGGCGAAGTCAGTAGTGAACTACACTTCTATCCTGGCCAACTCCAGCAGCTGTTCTTCTAAACTATGGTGCGACTCAAGTAAGTGTGTGTGGTATGAGTCTCTTTACCGTTTAATTCGGTTCGTCGTTGAATATTACGCGAGTTATCTGATGTAATCCTGTCGAGTGCTTTTAAGTTTTAGTACGTCTCATGTCCTCTTCTTGGGTGATTCAAGTTCAAGTATGTTTATTGAGACAAGAAAAAATACATCTCAAAGGGGTTGAGTAGCTTAGGCTATTTCTACCCTCCCCCCCTCCCCCCTTGGGTGATTGTGTTGGGTTGGTGCTGGACTCAAGGCTTAATCGCTGGACGGTTGCTAAGGCCACTGCAATAGCTTATTGACCATCCGGCAAATTTAAAGCCTATATTCACCCAATTAGATGTTGACAGTTGTATGATGTATGACACGACTTGCGAAGCCTAGTAGTATTGATATATTTGCCCGTGTGATTTCTAAGTGTTTTGCCAAAGGAAGAGAGCCTCATTAATTTTGCTTTACAGTTTTATTTTCCATTTATTTGTTTCCCTCAAGAAGTGCTTGAAATTAATGTAAGAATTTATAAGTTTTGTAGGCTAAAGGCAGCCTAGCGAGTATTGAGTCGACAGGATCTTTAAATTGAAGCATGCAAAAGGACTTAATATAATTCATGATCTTTTATTTTAATTATATCACTTTTTATGTGAGCTTTGTGGTTTTGTCCCTCCTTGTTCTGTTGTTTACTGATTATTTATTATTGACCCGTGTAGTTATAAAATATTACGGTACACTGGGAGACTTATGAGAGAGGTTAGGCTTGAACACATTTTCTGCAGACGCTGAGAAACAGTGGATATCTTTCTGGTCCAGAACATTTGTGAGACACTGCAGCGATACTGTCTGCGTTGTGCTGTGGGCGAGGGCACCATATGCACCAGAATATGATGATTGATTGATGAAGATTAAGCCACTCAAAAGGTGGCACGGGCATGAATAGCCCGTAAGTGGTGGCCCTTTTGAGCCATTACTAGTATCAAGAGCTGACACTAAAGATCTGTGGAGGTGTGACTGCACCCTGCGTGACGGGAGATGTCTCCCGTCCCCAGAATTTGGGACTAGTATACCCCTATATACTCCATTAAGGGGGGGGGGGTAATGGGGTATGCTAGACTCCCATATTTTTTTTTTGCTTGTGTTATATGCTGTACGTCGAGGGGGATTTAAGTGAAGTATACGGTGTACACTGGGTGTGTGTAACCTCATTTACCCCGAAGGAAGAATTCAAGATGGCCTGCTGAGAAAGACGTTCTTTTGGAGGACAGGAAGCCTGCTGAGTATGAAACAGCTGGTTCTTGAGGATCGTCACTTGGTCTCTACACTCTATCCCAGCACCCCTTAGGGACGCCTGGGGACAGATCATCCGGGAAGCTGCTGGGATCCCTGTTGCTCAGGTGCGGTAATCAGAGGGAACGTGCAACACTTACGACAGCAGACTCTTGGCTAGCTGTGTTAGGCAGCCTTATTATAACCAGGGTTTTTGAGGGAGAGGGAGATAAGCAAGATCCAAACACATACGCGATGGAAGGCAGCAAGATCCAATCACAGTGATGGAAGGCAGCAAGATCCAGGAATATGTCACAGGTAAAGCTTCGTGATCCAGGAATGCAGCGAGAGTAAGTCTTTGAGTTTAAATGTGCAATTGTCTCCAAATTTGATTAGTAAAAAGTATAGTTACAATAATATATCAAGCATTTGTGCAGAATACAATGGGACTATTTATTCCATTACAGAATCCAGTCAACTTGTAATCAACACGAGAAAGAGGCCTTTTTGGACGACCGTTAAGGTATTGTTTTTTTTTTTATCTAGATCATCTAAGACAGATCACAAATCTTTACAGTTAAAAAACACACACATACGAGCCTCTCTAATTCCACTACCACTCACAGGATGGGTTTGGGGTTCACTACCACTCACAGGATGGGTTTGGGGTTCACTACCACTCATAGGATGGGTTTGGGGTTCACTACCACTCACAGGATGGGTTTGGGGTTCACTACCACTCAGGATAGGAATGGGTTCACATAATAAATTAATTAAACTAACATCTTCCGGGTTCGATTAGACCTAATCACGTGTACTCATCTGTTTGTGCCTGCAGGATCGAGCATTGGCTCCTGGATCCCGCCAATTTCGTTTGAAAAAAATAGCATTGTATATAACTACCTCAGAGGCAATCCTAATATTTGTTTCATAATCTAAACTACCATAATGGTCAGTCATTGTACCTAAATATCATAGCATTGTATAGTGTTTACGAATATTAATAATAATTATTTTAACAGTTTCGCGTGTTTTCTGAGATGGTGATTACTGTGCTTACAGCTTAGTGATAGCCTATGTCTGCAAGCCGGAGGTTCAGTTTACCTGAAGTGTGGTCCAGTGAGGTCCCAGGAGGTGAAGCTGCCGCTCTACCCGTTCATCCCCAGTGTCAGATTTATGTAAATATTGCCAGTTTTATCATATATTATTCCTCTGAAGATAATATTTAAGATCAAATATTTACCCCTTGTTTTAAATAATTATTTTCTTCAAGTCGTGTATATATTTATATATAAAATTATAGTTATGTAGTGAATCCATTGTGCTGTGTATATCTCTACAGCACAATATGCCTCTTGAGTTAATCTCATTGTTAGGAGTTTATTTACTCCCACACACACCTCAATTTATAAATATGATTGTTTTCTCTCCATTGTACCTGGTAATGTGGCTACATATCATATCACATAAAACATACATATCAATTATCTTCCGGAGATGTAGAAAGAGCTATTTTAATATGGGATAAAAACTGTGTATGCCTGAGGTCGTAATTAATCAAATGCTAGCCAAGGAAGCCTACTGACAGTGGAGAAATTAGAACCCCCCAATACTGATCACTTGAGCGGTAGTTTATTGTGCACCTCGTACTCCTCCTGTGAGTGGTAGTCAGACCTCAACTAAAATGTTTACAATAACAGTTAACCTGCACATCTTATAACTATAATGACGGTTTCAAAATTTGTAGATGGCAACATCTATGTATTTGCTCTGCATTCATACATTGAAGATGCATCTTTTGTTAATACCTAAAATAATTTAAATATTGGAAATTACATTATCACAGAAGAGCTGTGTATTAATATGGTACACAGCTTGCACATTATTCTCACTTATGTCATTTATCTACAAGAAGCGAAATACGGATACATGTAATGCCAGAATTTCAATTATTTGATAATTTGTAATAAGATAGTTTGTCATTTTATACAGCGTGAGGTTAGATTTATCTTTAAATGGGTATTTTTTCGGTCTGTGATGTATATGAAGTATCCGGAGTCTAGTATTCTGATTCCTTCTGCAAAAAAAACATACTCTGGTTGTTTTAGAAAATTTGAAATTTTGCTCCGAAGGGTGAATTTATTGGGTACCGTTACTCATTCTGAGTGAATATACTGCTATTGGGACTATTGGGCAGCGTCACTCATGGTATGATTGAATATACCACCACAACAGCATGTACAACACCCCACAAAAGAAAGAAACCATGCTAGGTTGTTCATCCAGTCACTCATCCCAGATACCGCCGGGAATTTCCTAATTGTCTCTAGTGAACAGTTCATCGGACAAGATTACCATTTATCAACCCCTAAACTTACGTTATCTTGAGGGTGTAAAGTGGGGAAATCTTTTAAGGACAGTATCTGTATTTAACAAATAATGTTTTCCTAACTCAAACACTGTGGGTTTTATTATTCTACACATACTTCTAATGTCTCCTAGATGGGCACAATCTCTCAGGTAGTGGTCAAGGCACTCTCACCATAGATTCTACAGCTCCACTGCTCAGCTGTTGTTCCCATCCCAATTCTCTTAATCAGCCTGCGGACGGGAGACATTTCCCGTCACGCAGGGTGCAGTCGCACCTCCACAGATCTCCAGTATCAGCTCTTGACTCAAAAGGGCCACCACTTACGGGCTATTCACATTCAGTGATTTTTTTTTTCAATCCTCATTTATTGAGATATCTCGTCTGGTTATTGTCATATTCTCCCATGAAAATGATGAATAAATGTGTCTAGATTAAGTCAAACGATTCCTAAAGTTTAACCTCGACACCTGTGTTTTGTTTTTTTTATCACAGAACTTAATATAAGGTAGCTAGCTTTTCCAGCGTCCCTCTGAGCAAGTTGTCCCTTAGTGGAATCCTTGGGGAATCCGTTGCCTTTACTTCGGTCTTCGCATGTCTTTTTGCTCTTATATAGATGGGTATTTATGATGTGAATATCTCGTGACACGCTTAGTGCTACATAGTCTTCCCGGCTTGCCGCGTTCTTTAGATACCTAATTGCTTAATTAATACACATTAAACACCAGGGAATACAACTTAATACACAGTAAAACTAGACATGCATTTGTACGTTTGGTTTTGCAGAAACAACAGCAGCCTGAATGTGATGATACCAAGGAAGGAGGGGGGACAGTGGAGGGTGACTGTGACTGCTGCCGGGGTGGTCGAAGAGGTTGTAGCGGGCGCCAACTTCTCGCTCAACAACTTCTCGCTCAACAACATACTGGTAGTCAGTGGCAATCTGACCTGGCTCAAATGTTATGACATATATGTAAGTCTCGTGTGCACGCTTGCCAAACCTGACCTTCGTGTGCTGATTAGCAAAGTAACATAAATGTAAACAAATACTCACAAGTCTGAATACTGGTACACTAATGCCAAAATGCACACTTTGCCATTTGAACTTTGACATTTTGTGAACTACAACCGCTCTTCTGTGTTCACAGTATACTACAATAATGATATTTTAAAAATTTAGAGGATCAGAAGTAGAATTTTCACATGGTAGGTATTTATGCTTGTATTACCGTAGAACGCTATGCGGACCAGCAAATGTTTGCCCAAATATATGATAAATCGGCTTTTGTAATGATAAGCCCTCGTGTCCCAAGTTCTAGATGCTTTAGCGGACCCTCTCCCATGTCCCAAGCTCTCCTAGATGCTAAGTTTAATAGATGTGTGTGCTACAGTGGGCCTAGGATTGTCCAGATTAAGCCTATAGATGTTAGGTTAGGCTGTATCATTTTCCCATGCTCTTTAGAATACCAGTAGTACTAAACCTTTACGTTTTAAGTATCACAGTCAATATTTTTAAGTATCACAGTCAATATTTTTTACACATGTCCCCCACAGTTAGTTTTGGAAGATGGGCAGTAAGAAAGGCTCATTCAAAGTGCGCTGCACTACAGCCTATTCCGAGGCAAATCAGAGAGGGAGCGAGAATGAAGGAAAAAATAAATATTGTAATTAAAATGGGAAGGTTAGGGGAAATGAGACGTGTAAGGAGACTGATAAGTAAGCAGGCTTCCTGTCGCAAGACAATGACACACCGTCTGCACAAACAGATAAACGAATGAGAGCTGTCTGCTTGGATGAGAATGATAGCTGCCTGTTGGGATGAGAATGATAGCTGCCTGCTGGGATGAGAATGATAGCTGCCTTTTGAGATGAGAATGATAGCTGCCTGCTGGGATGAGAATAAATAAATAAATATATTTTTATTCAGGAAAAGCACATAAATAGTTGATTTACAAACATAATGTTGGATTTATAGATAGAGCTAGTACATACAATACCTACAGCCACTAATACTCATATCGTTTCAGGCAAGGTGTGGGGAAAAAGACACTTAGACTAAAACTTAAAAGTGATTGGGATTAGGTATAAATTGAGTTGAAAAAAGGGAATAGAAAATAAAAAAGGGAGGAACATGGTAGAAATCAGTAATTGTACAAGTTGGTGAACAAACAGCATTGTTTAACAAAAGCAAGACATGGGTTGACATTTTGGGTGGGTTAAGTTAGGTTAGTTACATTTGGTTAATTAAGTAGCACTTGGTTTTACTCTTAAACTGGTTGAAAGAGGTACAGCATTTGACATGATTGGGGAGACCATTCCACATTCTGGGTCCCTTGATTTGTAGAGCATTTCTAGTTTGGTTAAGTCGCACTCTTGGAATATCAAATAGGTATTTGTTTCTGGTGTGATGCCCATGAGCTCTGTTACAACCTTCTAGGAAGCTTCTAAGGTCAGGATTGACATTGCAGTTCAGAGTTTTAAATATATAGAGTACACATGAGAGGATGTGCAGTGACTTAATATTTAACATATTCAAAGATTTGAGTAAGGGTATAAGAATGATAGCTGCCTGTTGAGATGAAAATGATAGCTGCCTGCTGGGATGAGAATGATAGCTGCCTGCTGGGATGGAGAATGTGTCCAGAGCAGTTGCGTCATCAGAAAAACAGATCCCCATGACACACTTAGCTAATTATTAATTCATTCTGTGTTTCGAGTTACTTCCATTTTCTTCCTCCGTCACTTTGTAATTTCAAATTCAGTTCAAATTACAAAGTGATGAATGAAGAAAATGTAAATAAATATAAATATAGAATGTATGAAATAATAGTTAAGCAAACATAGTCTATATACAGAACAATTATTATTATTATTGTTGTTATCATTGATAAAATATACTAAAGAACGTGTTACAGTGGATAATTAGTACGTACGAAAATTGTATATTAATATAAAGCCACTAATACACAAAGCCTTTCGAGTTTATTAAAATAAAAATTGTTTCTATATTATTATTATAATAACATTATTATTCTATATATAATAATGTTGCTGGAAGTTTTCTTGGAGAGAAGAGTGTGGGAGGGATGGAGAGTGGCGGGGGGGGGGGAATAATTCGTAGATAAGATAATGGTAAACTTGGGAGAATGTTAATTGGTGAAGAAAAAGAAAACGGAAGTAGGTAGAGGGCAAACTATGATGGTCAGAGGTGATGCTAGAAGTTCAACTGTTCCTGATGGATTTAGCTGGTGAGAGAAGCTTGCAAATTACAATACCAGCGGATATAGCTATATAAGATATATGTCTCATATGTGAACAGTCAAAGCACGTGTGTATTAGTGTATATTTATATAAATGTCAATAACAACATGTACATTAAATCGGCTGTAAAAGGTATGTCTATAGTAGAGTTTAGTGTGTTTATTCAAGCACTTACGAACAACTGTATAGTCAAACGTAGAAAAATGAACTGTTGAACCACCAACAGTTCACTATATATTAGTGAATTAGCCCAAATGGAATAGTACAAAGTATGGACAAGTAACCAAAAACCTAACCTAAACAGCTGCCTAAGCCATCCTAGACCCAATACACGTTAGGCCTAGTATGTCTTGAACACTATGGATGGTGTGATCTCTGAATTATGCGATTTTTTCGCATTCATTTATATAATGACGCAAAGTATGTGACTCGTTCTTATGGCAGAGTTTACATTTAATCAAGTCTGCGTCAAGTACAGTCAAGTACATTTAAACCAGTCTCCGTGGTGTAGTGGTAAGACACTCGCCTGGTGTTCCGCGAGCGCTTTGTCATGTGTTCGTATCCTGGCCGGGGAGGATTTACTGGGCGCAAATCCTTAACTGTAGCCTCTGTTTAACTCAACAGTAAAATGTGTACTTGGTTGTAACAAGGATTCTTCGCGGCGGGGATCGTATTCCAGGGACCTGCCCGAAACGCTACGCGTACTAGTGGCTCTACAAGAATGTAACAACTCTTGTATATATCTCAAAAAAAAGTCTGCGTCAGGAGGTGGTGCAAACTCCCAAAGGTACTGTAGCTGAACCAGGGCAGCAAAAACAATTGTTATATTTAATTACCAGTAAGACCATATTGGCAGAGGCCAAAAACTGTCATATAACGAGATCTTACATTAATTAATATATATCAAGAAATTTTTGAAGCCTGAAAACGGGTGAAGTAGGCACAACCTGTCCTCTTACGAAGAACGTCGCTTTTCGCTCGTATGCGTTACATAAGACCAAAAATTGTCGTACTAGAAAATGGAAGCGACTGGCGAAAGTGACGTACTGTCCCGTTTTCTGTTTTGGGTCCTCTGGTAGGTCAAGAGAGACCACTTTAAATCGACCGTTTTCTTGACGTTGGGGGGGACCATAGGAGGACGAGGTGGATGCGAACAAGTGTAAAGATGGCACTGTGAGAGAGGAAGTGCATCCTGTTGTCCGCTCTTATCTTGTGTCACAAGATGTGAGCCCAGACTCCTGTGTACCTCACCTTAAACAGTCAAAATATGCGCCCGAGGGCTCTTGAAATACCAGTTTATTGTTCCTGGTATTAGGATCCACACCTCTTGAAAGACAGTGTATGAGCAAAATTTACATATTCTAGAAGACAAATGGTATTTAATCTGACATAATTACAAGAAATACATAGATGGGAGGGAATAATAAAATGATATTAACAGGGAACTAAATACATTCACATACAAGAACACGAAATAATGATTACTAATTGGATAAGTTTAGATTAAAAAAAATGGTTAAATACTATTTTGGAAATAGTTTGCTCTTTAGAGAACACGCTGCAAGGTGGTATAATACGCGGATAATTGGACTCATTCAAGCTTATGCTAGACATATACTGAGTTGACTCGCATGTGCAAATACACCTTTAGTTATTCTAATTCAAGTGTTCTAATGTGATTATTTTGAATTGCATGCTCCTAATAGTAGGAATTTAAACAGTTATTTTAATTGCAGGTGAAGCGATGTCTGAGAATTGGCGGGAAGTCATGTTGCAGAGAGGTTGTGGTGAGGGAACGGTGCAACAATGATACTATTGGTGTACCTCACAGCCTCATGCCTCATACCAGGTGAAGGTCTACTGTTTGTATATATTCTCTCACACACACAGCACCGCTCCTGTGCCAGGTAAGTCCACTACGGGCTCACCATAGCCCGTGCTACTTGGAACTTGTTCCGAGTTGCTTAATCTATAACAACATCACTCTCACACGCTCACTCTCACACACACTCACAGCCTCTAAGACTCTCACACACACTTACAGTCTCTAAGACTCTCACACACACAATGGGTCCAGTGGTACAAGGGTTAAGTTTTCGGCTGAAGCATCATAAAGCATGTCAATCTACACTCAAATTGGAACATATACTGAAGTAAATGTATGCCCCCCCTCAGGACCTCGGTTATCGCGGGCGTATGTGTTGGAGTGTATGTTGTGGTGGTGGTGATGGTACTGGCGGTACTCAGCTTCCATCACCGGGTCACCAAGCAGCCCTCCTTAACCTTGCCCGCCCTCTGGGAACATGAAGAAGGTGAGTGCCTCAACCTGGTCAGACGGGTGATAATGATAACGGTCTTTGTGAACACTTTAGAAATACAACTGATTAGGGTTTGCTGGATTAGAGAACATGATTGAAAATGATGTCAAAATAGCGGGTGAAAATGCTATACTCTTGACTACAATTCAGCGGCCATGTTGCTTGAAGGTTTCTATACCCATTCTCTCTAGCAGTCTCCGTGGTGTAGTGGTATGGCGTTCCGCGAGCGCTATGTCATGGGTTCGTATCCTGGCCGGGGAGGATTTACTGGGCGCAATTCCTTAACTGTAGCCTCTGTTTAACGCAACAGTAAAATGTGTACTTGGATGAAAAAACGATTCTTCGCGGCAGGGGATCGTATTCCAGGGACCATAGGATTAAGGACTTGCCCGAAACGCTACGCGTACTAGTGGCTGTACAAGAATGTAACAACTCTTGTATATATCTCAAAAAAAAAAAAAAAAAAATTCTAGCCATGTGTGGCTGTCTCAGATGGATGTGAGTGTTGTATGTAGCCGTGTGATGAGTGGTGGATGTTGTGATTCTGCTACTGAGTTCAATAGGTTCTTCTCTTCCATTGGTTCATCCCTTGCAAATGATATTCCATCTTCCAGTACAGACATTAATGACTATCTTTCAGGTAACTATCCACAGTCTCTGTACCTAAAGCCTATTAATTCCACTGACGTCAATGAGATAATCCTTTCCCTTAAAACCAAGTCTGGTGCCCTTGAGGAGATACCAACTTTAATTTACAAAAAAGCCTCCAGATCTTTAGCCCCTGCTATTGCTTTGCTCTTCAACAAGTCACTTGAACTCCAAACCTTCCCAGATATTCTAAAAAAAGCGAGAGTAACGCCTGTCCACAAATGTGGTAATCTCACAGATGTTAACAACTACAGACCTATATCTATCCTGCCAAACTTGTCAAAAATTTTTGAAAAACTAATCTATAAGCAGCTTTACTCATATCTAGCCAAACTCAATATACTTAGCCCTTGCCAATATGGCTTCAGACCCAAAAAAAGCACTAACGATGCACTTATTAGTATGCTTAACTCGATTCATACAGCTCTTGATAAAAATGAGTTCTCTGTTGGGTTGTTTGTGGACCTGCGTAAAGCTTTTGACACTGTCAACCACCAAAACCTTCTTCTTAAATTACATCATTATGGAGTCAGAGGACACTCCCTACAATACCTCAAATCCTACCTTACTGACAGGCTCCAATATGTTTCTGTGAATAACACAATTTCTCCCACCCTACCCATCAACATTGGTGTTCCCCAGGGCAGCATACTTGGCCCTCTCCTCTTTCTCATCTACATTAATGACCTTCCAAATGCCTCCCAACACCTCAAACCAATTCTATTTGCTGACGACACAACCTTCATTTACTCCAGTCCTGATCCCCTTGCTCTAAATGCCACAGTAAATACTGAGCTAAATAAAGTCCATCTGTGGCTAACTGCCAACAAACTCACCCTTAACATTGACAAAACCTTTTATATTCTGTTTGGCAATAAATCCTCTAATCAAATAAATCTCAAAATAAACAATACCCAAATTTGTAACAAATTAGATGGCAAATTCCTTGGCATTCTCATTGACCACAAGCTTAATTTCCAGGGACACATTCTAAACATATCAAAAAAAGTTTCAAAAACTGTGGGCATTCTTTCTAAGATCAGATATTATGTACCACGCCCTGCCCTGGTGACTCTCTATTACTCCCTTATCTATCCATATCTCAACTATGGTATTTGTGCTTGGGGCTCTACTACCCAAAATCACTTACGTCCTCTAATTACTCAACACAAAGCTGCTATTAGGACAATATCCAATTCTGGCCCCAGACATCACTCGGTACCCCTACTTAAATCTCTGAATATGTTAGACATTAAGTCACTGCACATTCTCTCATGTGTATTATACATATATAAAACGCTAAACTATAATGCCAATCCTGATCTCAAAAGCTTCATAGAAGGTTGTATCAGAACCCATGAGCATCACACCAGAAATAAATACAGTTTTGATATTCCTAGAGTACGACTTAATCAAACTAGAAATGCTCTACAAATCAAGGGGCCCAGAATGTGGAATGACCTTCCCAACCATGTTAAAGACTGTACCTCTCTCAACCAGTTTAAGTTAAAAGCGAAGCTATACCTAATAAATTCCCTGTAACCTACCTTACCCTTCTATTGTCAACCAATGTCTGTTTTTTTCTTTAAAGAGCGCTGTTTGTCGACATAATTGTATTTGTGCTGCTTTTTCATCTATGTTTTCATTTCTTGTTTTCATTCTACTCATTATGCTCAATTAGTATTAAGCTTGTCATTTAAGTTTATCATGCCCGAAACGCTTTGCGTAATAGTGGCTTTAGGCATTGTATGTACTAGCTATACCTATAAGTTAAACAATCCTTGTAAATATTTATTGTATGTATGTACCTTACCTAAATAAAATTGTATTGTATTGTATTGTATTGTATTGTGAGTGTTGTGCCGTGCATATAGATGGATGTCATGCGTGGTTATATACCGTGTTACATATGGTACATGTTGTAAGTGCATCATTCACTGAGAAGAGCTTGTAGTTCAGATCTCGTCCCTCCCCAGTGCTGCTGGTCCACACGAAGGAGTCTGACGAGCTCACGCACCTGGTCAACGATCTAGCTGGAGACATCCTCACTCACACAAATATTAAGGTCAGTCACGGTTTAGCAATGGGTATATTATATTTACATTTCTATTGTTGGGGACAGGAAGCCTGCGGTTAGAATTATCGAGGTCCCCCTAGGCCAACTATTGACCTTACGCCAGGATATAACCTAAAACAATTGTCTAACTCTCAGAAACCTATGTTACTGCTTGGTGAAGAGACGCATTAGGTGACAGGAAACGTGCCGATATGGCCTGGGATTAAACCCGGGAGACACTGTTCTGAGCCAATGATGTAGAGTGTAGACTATTGTCCTAAATCAAATCACTCAAATCAAAATGGTTGTTGATCTGTGGATCCAATTACCGCGTAACGTGGTGGAGGTGGGGTCCCTCGATTGTTTCAAGCGTGGGTTGGACATGTATCTGAGTGGGATTGAGTGGTTATAAATAGGAGCAGCCTCGTATAAGCCAATAGGCCTTCTGCAGTTACCTTTCTTCTTATGATGGTCGAGTGGTTAAGGTTTCATATACACCAGTTGCAGAGTGCTCCTGGCAGTATGGGTTCGAGTCACTTCTGGGGGTGTGAGTTTTCATTTGCCTGGGGACCATTCAGGCTTGTTCGCACTTATGTTCTTATGTAAAAGCTTAATTGTTGTTGATGATTGAGGGCGCTCGAGGGAGCGGATGCTGCCCCCTAAGAGCTTTAGTCATAAATGGTTGTACATATAGTTGGGAAAGTTTACATTCTAAGTCCAGTACATTAATTACGAGTCACAATAACAGCACAACATTTACATTCTAAGTCCAGTACATTAATTACGAGTCACAATAACAGCACAACATTTACATTCTAAGTCCAGTACATTAATTACGAGTCACAATAACAGCACAACATTTACATTCTAAGTCCAGTACATTAATTACGAGTCACAATAACAGCACAACATTTACATTCTAAGTCCAGTACATTAATTACGAGTCACAATAGCAGCACAACACGTAGACATTGTCATTATCAGAATCACCAACTTTATTCGTAACAAGTTATACAAGTCATCACAATACTGACTGGACTAAACAGGCTTAACACCATTCTAAGTCAAACTTACATATTTGGTGTAAAGTGAGTGGCATTTACCTTAGAATTTGAACGATGATATATATTGTCAAAACCAAGAGTGGTTTTCCATTATAGCGGTAACACAGATATTGACACAAATTAAATAACACATTTAGAATGATGAGAAACAATAGGAAGGTGGACTAATATAAACTATTTATATCATGAAATTGTAGAATACCGAGGGTGTGCACATTTCTGTATCTATATATATTATAGTAACTTTTTTGTTGAAGACATTGTTATTGAAGTTGACAGAATGGCTGATATAAATTAATCTAGTATGAATCTTCTCGTTGTTTTTCTTTACTTGAGAAGGAAGTTGTAAAAATAGAATAAAATAAGTTTGCAGTATTCATTTACAGTTATATTATGACCTGACGTTAAGAGATGCGTCTCATTGACCCATCACAACATTCTTAAAGATAGAGTACAAGTGAATACAATTTGATTGATTGATTGATAAAGATTAAGCCATCCAAGAGATGGCACGGGCATGAATAGCCCGTAAATACAAATTGGTTGTTGTTGTTTGAGATTTAGCTACTCAGAACGAAGTGTCCATGTAGCACGGGCTATGGTGAGCCCGTAAACCAATTGATTGATAAAGATTAAGCCATCCAAGAGGTGGCACGGGCATGTATAGCCCGTAAAAACCAATTGGCTGGAGCAGCAAATATATAACATCGAGTGAGGTGAAGTGTCACATGGGCCAGTAGGCCTACTGCAGCTTACCACTGTGTAGGCCACAAACTGTACTCTTAGAATTATACTTCATTAATATATGTATTTTGTTTGGTAGGCGGTACATGACATCTTCAGTACGAGCGAGCCGGAGGTATTGGCGAGCCCCCAGTCCTGGGTCCTTGGGAAGCTGTGTAGCCAACACTCTACCACTGTGGTCCTCGTCTCCTCGCCTGGCCTCTCTAATGTGATGTACCTCAAGATGAAAGGTGTCACAGATTATGGTAGGTGGCTACACTGGCACCAGTAGATGGTGCACCATGAGATCACATTAACGTGATGTATCACTGAGAAAATCAGTAGGAGCTTGATGAGGATTCGAACCTAATCACTGGGTACGCCCAAGCTATAGTGCCCTAGACCACCACGCCACGACATGGTAAAAACAATAAAACCAGGGATTCCACTGAACCCTCTAGGATTCCTGAGGCTTACAACTAAAGCCCAGTTGGGCTTCAGTTCTAAGTGGGTTCAGTGGAATCCATGTTTGCATTGTTTTGACCTTGTCGTGGCGTGGTGGTCTAGGGTGCTAACTAGGGAGTACCAAGTAATTACCTAAGTGTAGTTACAGGATGAGAGCTACGCTCGTGGTGTCCCGTCTTCCCAGCACTCTTTGTCATATAACGCTTTGAAACAATGGGTTTCTAATGCTAAAAAAAGGTAAATGGGTTCTAATGCTCCTCTTGACTCCTACTGTATTTCTCAGTAGATGGTGTTAGCAGTAAGTGTGCTGGTGTAGTTGTGGTGATCAGTGGTGCCGGGTGTTGCTAGTAGGATGGTATTGGCACCATTGGGCTTGTATGCAAGTAGTGCTCACCACCATTCCTTTCCCCCGTCCCATCCCAAACCCTTGTCCTGACCCCTTCGAAGTGCTATATAGTCGTAATGGCTTGGCGCTTTCTCCTTATAGTTCCTCTCCCTGTTTGCATATGGGTTCCCATGGAACCCATATGCAAGCAGCGCTGAGCGACATGTGTTACCATGGGTATGTTTCACCATAGCAGTGCCCCACAGTCCTGTACCCAAATAGCAGAGCCCCATAGGGCGCCTGTACCCATATAGCACCACACCCCATGCGGCTATACCCAAATAATAGTGTAACCCATAGACCTGCCTAGGGCAGAGTAGCATCAGTGATGAAAAGAGTGTTCATCATGTGCTAGAAGCAGTGATGTGATAACAGTTATCAGTGCCAAGAAATATTTCTCATTAACAGTTTCAAATATACAAGAATGACTCTTGGGCATAAGGACCAGGGGCCAGATTCACGAAGCAGTTACACAAATACTTACGAATGTGTACATCTTTCCTCAGTCTTTGACGGCTTTGGTTTCATTTATTAGACAGTTTACAAGCATGAAAACCTCCGAATCAACTGTTGTTATTGTTATAAACAGCCTCCTGGTGCTTCGGAGCTCATTAACTGTTTAGTAATTGAGGTGGTGTTGATAATGTTGAAACAATCATCAATGTCACTCAGTGTTGTGGGGTGGTGGTGAATGTGGGAAGCAATAATGGTGTGAGTATTGACAGACACGGTGGTGGCAATAGTGGTTTATAGCAATATTCCGGGAAAACAATAGAGTACAGCAGTCATAATTAGTTCGTTGTTTGCCTCTCACAGTCGTATATCAGCTGCAGCACATCTTGTATACTCTATACACAGCACCATGTTGGTACCTGTTCCATGTGTGTGTGTATTAGAGATTGTTGAAGCGGTGTGTGAGTATAAACTTGTATGTGGTGTTACAGGGATGAAGAGCGTATTGGGCCGGGACCATCACCCCTGCGACTCTCTCCTCAACACCTGCCTCGACTACATGCTCCACACTCACACTCTACAGGACCCCAGGCGTGTCCTTGTCGTCAGGTGAGTCACTACCTGCTCCACACTCACACTCTACAGGACCCCAGGCGTGTCCTTGTCGTCAGGTGAGTCACTACATGCTCCACACTCACATTGTACAGGACCCCCTGCAGGCGTGTCCTTGTCGTCAGGTAGGTCACTACATGCTCCACACTCACATTGTACAGGACCCCCTGCAGGCGTGTCTGTGTAGTCAGATGGGTCACTACATCCTTCATACACTATACAGGACCTGACATGTATACGTACCTTTGAGTGCAGCCTTCAGTTTGTACATATAATTATAATTTCCTAGTGCTAATAAACAGGACCCTCCCCTCCTTGCTTGTTATAGCCGGGCGTGCATACAGAACGTCCAAGGATCACATTCGAGGGACCCGGATTCAATCCCCGGGAGGGATAGGAACAGTTGGGCACAACCGTGTCCTTTCACTGATGCTCCTGTTCACCTAGCAGCAAAACCCGGGAGTTTGCAACTTACAATCGAATATTAATGTTCTTGCCTCCGAAGCCAGACTGATATATGCTCTTACTTAATAAGGGAATAAATATAATAAAGTTTGGGAGCCCCTTTCACACTGGCCAGCAAGGAATAAAGAACACTGTTTCCCAAAAACGGTGGGTTTTCTGAGTGGAAGAAAACGTATGTCTGGAAGCCGACTTTAACCGCCCCAAGCTGCGCGCGCATTGACCCGAGGTTATATAAACCGGGACGGAGACGGCGTGGGCCCCTTTCCCCAAGCCAGCAGCTGCTCTTACATAATTTATATAATAAATTAATTTATTATATATTAATTTTATATATTAATTTATTATTCATTATAAAATAAACAAGTCCCCAATCTGAGCACGTTTTCTTCCAACCTCAGAAAAAAGCAGGAAGTTGACCAGACCACACACTAGAAGGTGAAGGGACGACGACGTTTCGGTCCGTCCTGGACCATTCTCAAGACGATTGGGAATGGTTGGAATGGAATGGGAATGGTTACAATCGACTTGAGAACGGTTACAATCGACTTGAGAATGGTCACAATCGACTTGAGAATAGTCACAATCCGAAACGTCGTCGTCCCTTCACCTTCTATTGTGTGGTCTGGTCAACATTCTTCAGCCACGTTATTGTGACTCATCGCCTGAATAAAGCAGGGAATTTATTTATTTCATAGACACAATGGTTCTTGGGTCTGTAAGCTTAGTTAACTAAGGGGCAGGGTAGTGGAGGGAGTAGAGACATTACCCCGTCCCCGTTACACAGTAAATAAAGTGTGGCAGCGTTGAACGGAATCTTGAGTTAATAGGTCCCTTAAAAGTGTCATTAGACGAGGACTCGTGGATGAATTTGAAGAAACTAGAACAGTGCAAACTGGAATTAGCAGGTCCATTGTTTATCACAATGAAATGTGTCAAGTAAAACATGTGTCTGGGGCAAGTAACATCAGCAGACTAACAGACGTTGTCACACCTCGAATAACACTTGGCTACAGGTATCTCTGGCAGTTGGGCTTGTATAGGAATCTAGATGAAGTAAAGTGTAAAGTGTGTGGACAGACAGAAACACATACTTGAGCATTACATCTTAGATAAAATTGAGCCAGGAAATCCTGGAAATTCTGGAAATCCTGGAAAAACTGGAAAGCCGTCCTGGAAATTGAGCCATCTTAGATAAAATTAGCCAGAAATAAATCTCAACTCACGCTGCATGAAATGCTAAAAACCATTTTATTACTAAGGATAAGATGTCTGAAATCCTTGCACTGTATCGATATCTCGCTTCCAGTAGATAAATGACATATGAGATTAAGAAGGAAGTAGTGTATTGTAAAGACTAATAATAACAAACACCAGCTCCCCATTGAGCCTTTAATATCTGTACTTCGATAAGACCTCCCAATAATGTTTAATGATTAACTGTAAATACACAGTTATTGAGGTGGAACAGTCTCTCTTACTAGCTGACATTATAATTATAAGGTGTGTGCAGGATAGATGGAATTGTTAATGTAACAATCTCAGCTGAGGTCTGATAAAGACCTTTTGTGCCCTCTGTAATCCTTTTTTGCCCTACCGCTCACAGGATGAGTATGGGGTGCACCATAAACTACAGCTCACTGGATGAGTATGGGGTGCACCATAAACTACAGCTCACTGGATGAGTATGGGGTGCACCATAAACTACCGCTAACAGGATGAGTATGGGGTGCACCATAAACTACCGCTAACAGGATGAGTATGGGGTGCACCATAAACTACCGCTCACAGGATGAGTATGGGGTGCACCATAAACTACCGCTAACAGGATGAGTATGGGGTGCACCATAAACTACCGCTCACAGGATGAGTATGGGGTGCACCATAAACTACCACTCACAGGATGAGTATGGGGTGCACCATAAACTACCGCTCACAGGATGAGTATGGGGTGCACCATAAACTACCACTCACAGGATGAGTATGGGGTGCACCATAAACTACCACTCACAGGATGAGTATGGGGTGCACCATAAACTACCGCTCACAGGATGAGTATGGGGTGCACCATAAACTACCACTCACAGGATGAGTATGGGGTGCACAATAAACTACCGCTCACTGGATGAGTATGGGGTGCACACTAAACTACTACTCAAAGGAACCCATCACAATGGCTGTACTATTCAAATCACTTGTGCTGTTCCGTCTTGAGTACTGCCCGGTACTCACTTTCCCCCTCCAGAGCAGGAGAGGTTGCTGAAATAGAGGGAATACGGAGAACTTATACGGTACGCGTAGATACGATAAAGCATCTAAATTATTGGGATCGACTGTTCACTCGCAGGATGAGTGACGCTGCCCAATAATGTCACTATGGCGGTGTGTTCACTCGCAGGATGAGTGACGCTGCCCAATAATGTCACTATGGCGGTGTGTTCACTCGTAGGATCAGTGACGCTGCCTATTAAGCTAGCTCTCAGAGGCAAAATTTAATAATCAATTAGTTACCATTATATTCCATTCACGGCACAGGTTGAGGGGCGTGGAGACTGCCGAGGCCTGGGAGCGACCAGCCTGGGCGACAGGTCACCTGGGGCCCAGCGTCGTCTACACCCTCCCTGACGACCACACTCAACTCTGGACAGCCCTCAACACCCCTGTAGCACGCGGTCATCGATGAAGTCGTCTACATCCTCGCTGACCACCACATCCAGTACCAAATGAACCAGACATTAGACTGAATTTTTTCAGTGTCAGAGTAGTTAAGAAATGGAATGCATTAGGAAGTGATGTGGTGGAGTCTGACTCCATACACAGTTTTAGATGTAGATATGATAGAGCCAATAGACTCAGGAATTTGTACACCAGTTGATTGATGATTGAGAGACGGGACCAAAGAGCTGAGGCTCAACTCCCGCAAGCACAAGTAGGTGAGCACGCTTGCCTGTGTGTACCGACTTAGCTGTACGCTCATATAAACCAATAAAAAAAATATATATAACGGATTTGTGTGTTCTCCCCTAATTATGTTTGTGGAAGTGAGCTTCAGCTCCTGCCCCCTGCCTCTAGACTATAGGGTTCACAATGTTTAATGCAAGAGCAATTACCAAGAGATCCTAAGTTGTGTTCAAGAGGAAACGGGATAAACACCTCCTAGGGGTTCCTGATCAGCTAGGCTGTGGTGCCTGGGTCCGCTCTGCGAGCTGCGGTCACCAATAGTCTGACTGAGCAGAGGAGGGACTAGGAAACAGATGAGAGACCAGGTCGCGGGTGTGTATGGGGTCTGCCTTCACCACATTACCGCCTAAGGTGTTGCTAACCCTGTTTATACAGTACCTTTTGTAACCATGTGGACTATCGTACATATATTGACGCAGTGGACAATTAAAAGGTAGAATTTGGTACTATTCACATTGTAGAGTTCGGAAAACGCTAAAATTAAACTGAAATATTTCTAAATATTTCTAAATATCCCTAAATATTTCTAGGCCTAGTATAGCACATATATGTACTATATTAGGTCTAGGATGGTTAGGTTAGTTTTATTAGCAACTTAAATACAACCTTTTCTGGTTAGTCAACATTCAGTAGTAACAAATTCTACTTTTCTAATTGTCCAGTACGTCAATGTATGTAAGATGGTCCACGTTGTTACTACAAGTACAATGTAAACAGGAGGATGACCGCTCAGACCATATACCGTGATGGTCCAGCGGTGCGGAGCGCTGGGTTAGTCACCAGAAACCACTCGTCTTAACACCCAGCTGACGACCAACCCCTCAGGTACTCTTGTAAACACTGACCCCGTCACCCCTACTCCTGTCCCGTCTCTTGGCTCCTCTCTTGCCCTCACCCTGCCCCTACTCCTGCCCTCACCCTGCCCCTACTCCTGCCCCTTCCACTCGTCTCTTGTCACCGTCTGTGTTTCAGGAGTTGGCGCCCAGCTTCATATAGTTGGCGGTGCTCTCAGAAGACACCGACAATCTGGCGTCGCAGATTGCTTTGACCACCCGCGTCTCACACACAGTCCATTCATATACACTCAAACACTTTCGCCGCCTCATAGAATTTGAGAGAATCTAACTAATTTATTCGTCTACATTTCAGTCACCCCTCCCGCCACTCCTGTCCCTACCTCCACTCCGCCCCTACCCTCTACCCCTACCACCAACATTAGAGGGTGGTGGTGGGGTAGAGGGCCTTGCTCGAATCCCTTTTACCACTCCCGTCCTAACCCCCAGCCACTTGGGTTGGACGGCATCCCTTCATACAGGTCGGCGTTCAATCCCCGACCGTCCAAGTGGTTGGGCACCATTCCTTCCCCCACGTCCCATCCCAAATCCTTATCCTGATCCCTTCCCAGTGCTATATAGTCGTAAGGGCTTGGCGCTTTCCCTTGATAGATCCCTTCCTGGCCTCACCTTGCCTCCAGCCCGCCTGCTATAATAACTCCTACTGTACTTCCAGTTGGAAACGTTTCCCTTCGCCTGTGCCTCTTCATCCTTTGTAATACCAAAACTGAACCTTACTTTGCCTCCAGCCCTGCCCTCACCCTTCACATCTCCAGCCTCCCTCCACCCTGTCGCAACTCGTACCCTTACTGCTACTTAAACTACTCTGATAATCTCTACTCGTTAACCTTGTCTTTGTGTTGTAATTAACGAGGACGGTCGTCCGTCTGAAGGAGTGCGGACCGCGCGCTTGAGTGGGGCCCGAGTCCCGCACGTCAGTCCGGGTGACAGGGAGGACCTGGGGCCATATTCACGAAAGCACTTACGCAAACACTTACGAACGTGTACATCTTTTCTCAATCTTTGGCGGCTTTGTTTACAATTATTAAACAGTTAATGAGCTCCGAAGCACCAGAAGGCTGTTTATAACAATAACAACAGTTGAATGGCAGGTTTTCATGCTTGTAAACTGTTTAATAAATGTAACCAAAGCCGTCAAAGATTGAGGAAAGATGTACACGTTCGTAAGTGCTTGCGTAAGTGCTTTCGTGAATCTGGCCCCGGTCACTGTGGAGCCTATACAAGGCCCCATACAACCACCCGACCACACCACCGTAATCAACCACCTGACCATTAATTCCAAATCAAATAACAGGGGCATTGATATTGTATGATGGGTAATTCAGCATTGTTTCCAGTTACGTGGCATACAGTGTATAATGTATGGGGGTACAGTGACAGCGGCAGAGGGAAGCTGAAGGGTATATTTAGGTATGTTTGTGTAGGTGGACTTGTTTATGTAAACAGGGCTATGGAGTGTTGTCATGGCTACTGGAATTACATTTGTTTCAATATAGATATTGAAAACTTGCCTTTACTACAAGTATTTTGGCAAATGCGAAAATACTTGTAGTAATGTTTAGTGTATACATACTGTACTGGCTGATGAATGTGTGTGTTGTGAGTGTTAAATGATGAGAAGGGTGGTAGGGTGGGTGGCAAGGCTGCCTTCCTGCCGGAGAACAACCGCCCTCTTTCTCCCACCACAGAAACCAACTAATATGCAAGTAATTCCACTCTCTGCAGCAACACCCGGCGCTAGTCAGTACTCTTTAATGTCTGATTAAGTACATACGTTTTACTTGTTATTTAGTGGATGGTGAGGATGCACCTGAAGATATATAGAGACAATAAGATGAGATTTGAGAGAGGAGGTTGGAGGGTTTGAGCAAGTTCTGACGCCATGGCGTCTTGACTGAGGGGAGGCGATGTAATAGAACCCGTGCCGTCTTGAGCCTCTGGCCACAACCCTCATACCCCGGGCTCCCTCACTAGTCCACCTCACCAACACACCAACAACATCTCTAGTACTATTCCCTCTCCTTGTTGTATCTGGCCAGCTATAATGCTAGACGAACCAGTAGGATTATGTTGGGGTATGAGTGGGGGAGACGAGCCTTGGGCATGCGTGAGTGGGCGAGGTGGAATGTCGGGTGGCGGGGGGGGGGGGGGGGGGAGGGTGAGAGGGGAGGCCAAAAGCGGGGATTGGGGGGGTGGTAGTGCCAGATGCCCAGGCATTCGAGGCATAGCTGTGGCTCAGTTACCTCGTGCCCCACGCGCTCCGATACCCCTGGCTGCCCAAGATGCAGCCCTAGCGGGTCTTGAGTGCCTCCTTCGTCGTTGCGGAGAGGTGTGTCCCGCCCACGCCCACATGAGGCGTCATGGCCGCCCACACACCACCGTGACACACACGTGTAGCAGTGAAGTGTAGTGATGGCGGGTGTGTGGCAGGCCGCCGTGTGTAGGTGACCACAGCCCTACACCTCTACACCCTCCATTCAGTGTTGTGTATCGCTCTAGTGTCTTACTCAAGTGCTTGTTATTTCCTCCCGCTGCCGAGCAGTTGGACCCTGCCAGTTAAGGTCCGTCTTGTGACTACCATTAAAGTGTTTGCGAGTGAAGGGTCAGGTAATCAGGGCCCGGCTTGAGTGCCCGCCAGAGAAGGGCCATCAGAGGACCCGCTAGTGAGGGCCCCGTCATTGAGGGCCCCAGGTAAAGGCCCAGCAACGGAGGCATGGTGCCGGCGCCCCCCGAGGCGTGGAGCGCCATGGGCGGCGGGGGCGGCGCCTCCAGTGCGGCATCAATGATGGGCGGAATTGAGGGTAACGTGGGCGGCGGCGCGGGCGGCGGGGGCAGCCTGGCAGGAGGGGCGGGCTCGGCTCAGCTGCTGAACTGGGTCTACCTCACCCTCGCCGACCACCACAACCAGCAGGCGGGGGGCGCCGCCCACCACAACCCCCCACCACCCATACACACCTCCCAGGTACGTCTAATATCTCTTTGGCTCATCTGGGAACTTAGTTTCTACCCATGTTCGTGCCCCACCTGTGACAACTAATGTTACTAGTCTTCCTTGTCAAATATCTAACAATTTGGGAGCCTCGGCTGTTAACAGGTCGCTTACTGTGGCTCTCAGTGTTCTGTTGATGTCTCTAAGTCACCTTCAAGCACCTTCTGTTACTCATCCTTCACTAGGCTCAAGTTGGGTACTGTGTCGAAGGCTTTCTGACAATCGGAAATATGCAGGCTGTCTACCCTTTCTGTCTCCCGGGTAGCTGTCTGTACTGACAGAGATATCCTGTCTGGTCACAAGTCTTGGTCGTCCCACGCTGTAGCAGCGGCCTCCTTACTTCAGCTCTGGTGCTCTACTGCAATCTCCCGTTGAGGTTCCTACACACGTGTGAGTGGTGGGTGTGAGTACGTGGAGGGAGGGAATGAGTGGAGGGTGTGAGTGCATGGAGGGAGTAAGTGCGTGAGTGAGTGGAGTGAGTGAGTGCGTGGAGGGAGTGAGTGTGTGGAGGGAGTGAGTGCGTGGAGGGAGTGAGTGTGTGGAGGGAGTGAGTGCGTGGAGGGCATGAGTGCATGGAGGGAGTAAGTGCGTGAGTGAGTGGAGGGAGTGAGTGCGCGGAGGGCATGAGTGCATGGAGGGAGTAAGTGCGTGAGTGAGTGGAGGGAGTGAGTGCGCGGAGGGCATGAGTGCATGGAGGGAGTAAGTGCGTGAGTGAGTGGAGGGAGTGAGTGCGCGGAGGGAGGGAGGGAGTGAGTGTGTGGAGGGAGGGAGCGAGTGCGTATTACTCACCTAGTTGTGCTTGTTGGAGTTGAGCTCTGGCTCTGGTCCCGCCTCTCAACTGTCAATCAACTGGTGTACAGGTTCCTGAGCCTACTGGACTCTATCATATCTACATTTGAAACTGTGTACACATCACTGCCTAATGCATTTCATCTATTAACTACTCTGACACTGACAAAATTATTTCGAATATCTCATTTGGGTACTAAATTTCCACCTGTGTCTCTTTGTTCGTGTTTCACCCATGCTAAATAGTTTCTTTGTCTACCCTGTCAGTTCCTTTAAGAATTTTGTATGTGGTAATCATGTCTCCTCTTAGCAGTGAGTGGGTGGATGTGGTTAAGTTTTCGTGGCTTAGCTTGTGTTGTGGGGCGTGTACACATGCTCGCATGTAAGCATGTAATAACATGCTTGTATGTAAGCATGTAATAACATGCTCGTAAGTTATCCATAATGTGAATCGCATAATTTCTGCTCGAAAAAATATAATTCTGCCCGAAACGCTGCGCGTACTAGTGGCTTTACAAGATTGTAATTACTATGCTATGTATCCTCAATCCCAATGTACCTTCTTGTATATATATAAATAAATAAATAAATAAAAAATAAATTTGGGCTGTATTCTGTAGTGTTATTATATACGTGGCCAGCAGTAGGCCTACTGGGCATGCGGGCTGGTCCTATGTACACCCAATTAGTTTCTCTCATGGTTTCCTCAGCCTCTGGGTCTCTAGGCCTAACAGAGATGTCGATGTCGAGGCGAGGCTACTCACACGGTCACCTTACTAGTCACTAGCCACACACATTGGGTTGAACCAATTTGCCGAGCGCTCGCTAAGGTGTTCAACCCAATTATTATTTATTTATTTATTTATTTATTTATTTATTTATTTATTTATTTATTTATTTATACAAGAAGGTATATTGGGTTTATGAGAGTACATAGCATTGATGTTTTTACATTCTTGTAAAGCCACTAACACGTACAGCGTTTCGGGAAGGTCCTTAATCTAAAAGATAATTTTAAGTAGGTAATTTGTAGCAGATTTTTTTTATCTTTATTTAAGAAAATACAATATAAATCACATATACATAAGTTTTACAAGGCAATTATACATTACAATTCTTAGTGAACAAGTGTTTCAGTAGTACAGAACAAGATCTTTTAAAAAAACCTGAATGTTATATTTATTTACCTATAAACGATTTACAAAAATTGGAGAATAAATTTACATTAAAATACAGGGGAAATTATTACATTTATAGGAATTATTACATCTTAGGCACACACTAGTTACTGCGTAACTGACCTACTGAGCAAATTGCCTCATTCCACCAGGACTGTAACACCTCGACAAATCTGTACTAAGGCAATTTTAATCCTTTGTAACGAGTTCTGTTGATATGATAATTGTCAACACGTTATTTATATATTTGTTAATGTCATCATTCATCCAGCCCGTTCTCGCGAACGTCCCCAACGTCTTGAAGCTGTCGTACTAAATTGTCCTTATCCTAACCTACCAGAGGACCCAAAACAGAAAACGGGACAGTATGTCAATTTCGCCAGCCGCTACCATTTTCTAGAAAGACAATTTTTGTCCTTAGGAAAAGTATACGTTAAAATACGACGTTTTATTACATGGTACCCGTTTTCTTATTTATAAAGTGTTATGAGGCTATCTTGAGATGATTTCGGGGCTTAGCGTCCCCGCGGCCCGGTCCTCGACCAGGCCTGCTTTTTGTTACACCCCCTCCCCCACTTCCCCCAGGAAGCAGCCCGTAACAGCTGTTTAACTCCCAGGTACCTATTTACAGCTAGTTGAATAGGGGCATCAGGGCGAAAGAAAACTGACCATTTGTTTCCGCCTCCACCGGGGATCGAACCCGTAACCCTAGAACTACGAATACGGAGCGCTGTCCACTCAGCTCTCTGGCCCCATAGGTTAAGCAGGCATCCAGTACAGTGCCAGACTAGACTGGATGTGGCAGTCACGTAGCGCTCTCTCGCACAACTCCAGCCTCGACAACGGAAATGTTTCGAAATTATTAGTCATAAGGTCGTCCTTGATCTCAGACAGTCGTTTGTGGGAATGGTACAGGTCGCTAGGGATGATAATAGTATATCGTTATTTAGCTGTGCTTAGCACCGGAAAATCATCAACATTTACAATTTTGCTTTCTTTATTATATTAAGATCATATTTACAATTTTTCTTAATTATATTAAGATCATATTTACAGTTTTTCTTTATTATATAAAGATCATATTTACATCATTTTTACAGTCCCCGTGGCGTAGAGATTAAGACGCTCGCATGGCGTTCCGCGAGCGCTTTGTCCAGGGTTCGTATCCTGGCCGGGGAGGATTTACTGGGCGCAAATCCTTAACTGTAGCCTCTGTTTAACTCAACAGTAAAATGGGTACTTGGTTATTAAACGATTCTTCGCGGGGGTCGTATTCCAGGGAACATAGGATTAATTAAGGACTTGCCAAAAACGCTACACGTACTAGTGGCTATACAAGAATGTAACAACTCTTGTATATATATAAATAAATAAATAAATAAATAATTACAAGGGAAAATACTACATTTATATATAGTTTATAATTCTCAGTAAACCAATTTTTCATATCATCACAACATGAGCGGTAAACCCCAAATGTTATACTTGATCCTGCCTCGCAAGAACTGCAATATTTTATCTACCAAGTAACCCTCCTGTCTGCCTATCAACACACAAAATGTAGCATAATTATTCTATTCTTAATTTTCTTGCATTTTGTGCCAATATGAAACATTAAAGACTTCATTAAATCCAATCTAATGCTTGAACCACATAAAACTTTAAGAGTATCCGTAATCCAGTTTACAAGAACAACTCTCTGCTTTCAGAAATAAAATATATTCCAATTGGGATAAAATAATACGCGGGATATGAGTGGTTGTAATATTTGCATTATTGTCATTATTATTGTCCTTTAAATTTGATATATTCCTGACTCCAGGGGCTATACACATTCTACAGCAATACAGGAGTGCTAACAATTTTAAATTATGTTTTTAAATTTAATTTTAAATTATCTTTGTTTGCTCTCTCAACCACAAGCCTAACTTTCCATTTCAAAATTTTCTGTCTTTCACACCTCTTGTTTGAAGCGTCCCTTAGACCTTTATCCCAAATATTTTAGCTCCCTGTAGGGCTTTATGTAGATATTATAGCGCCCCTTAATCCATTATTGTAGCATTTCTTAGGTCTTTCTCCGGAGATTGCAATGCCACTTAGGTCTTTATTCAGATATTATATTGCTTCTTAGACCTTTATCCTGATATTGCATCGCTTCTTAGTCCTTTATCCCGATATTGCATCTCCTCTTAGGCCTTAATCCAGATATTGCATCTCCTCTTAGGCCTTTATCCCGATATTGCATCGCCTCTTAGGCCTTAATCCATATATTGCATCGCCTCTTAGGCCTTTATCCCGATATTGCATCTCCTCTTAGGCCTTAATCCATATATTGCATCGCCTCTTAGGCCTTTATCCAGATATTGCATCTCCTCTTAGGCAATATATTTATCCATATATTGCAACGCCTCTTAGGCCTTTATCCAGATATTGCAGCCCGTTAGGCTTTTATACATATATTGTAGCTTTTTGGGGCCCCCTATACAAATATTGCATAGTCTATAGTGCCTTTATCTAAATATTGAAGAACTTCTTAGGTCTTTTTTCTAAATATTGCAGCGCCTCTTAGGCCTTTTTTTCTAAATATTTCAGCTGCACTGAGGCCTTTATCTAAGTCAAAGGTTCCCAACCCACTGCCTTAATTTATAATACTCAAAACACTTGCGACCCCTTGCCATACTTTCATAATTAAAAACAATACTTTTTCCTAAGAATGAATTTAGACATAATTACATTATTAAGAACTTAATTATAATATTCTTTAGACAATGAAATATTGACAAGTTGGGGGGGGGGAATTTAAGCTGCGTTCGGTTCCTGTTTTGACTTACGATAGACATCGAGAATGCTCTCTCAACCACAGTATTGCTAATTGGTGTTATTAAGCATGTGTTATTAAGCATGCTCCTTGAGGTACTTACTCCTGATTATTTCAGCGTCTACAAATTCCATCTTTCTGAAATGGAACTATCTGGACTTTTTTGCAATTAAAAAAAGGCAGTTTTC